AACGTCTCGACTCTGTCTACCCTCTGTATTAAGATTTATTACAGGTGACCCCTATGATACACATCATTGTATCGTGTACAACAAGGTTGGATGGTCATCGCTAACAGAAAGACGTGATATGCACTGGCATCTTTTTATTTATAAAGCTCTCACAGAAAAATTACCCTCATACCTGATAGAACTCATACATCTCTCGACTGGGCATTACTAGACACATTCCTCAAGACGTTTACTGTTGAATGTTCCTCGAGTCAGATCAGAACTGGGAAAATCAGCTTTTTCTTATTCTGCACCGGACTCTTGGAACAACATACAGCGTCTTCTTGAGGGAAATTAACTTTTACCCTCTGGGGATTTTAGAAACCGGATTTTAAGCCTCCCAACCTCTGTTTGTAACTGTTTTACATAACTGTGTTTATTTATTGCAGTTTTGTACTTGCTTAATTATCTAAGTACATTTTAGCCTTTTTTTAGACTGATTTTAGCAGTCTTGTATTATCTTTCCCCTGTTTTTCTTTTTGAGTTAATGTCTGTTTTCTAATTATTTCTCTAATGACTCGATGTCATTGTAAATGAGGGTTGCCCCTCAATGATCTTTTGAGTATAAATAAAGGTTGAATGAATGAATGAATCTGTGAACAAACCTGGTTTATTTTCAAGCTACACCTGTGTTTGACAGGTTATTCTTACAATATGTAGTCAAAAAGTGAAACCCTCGTGTTTGCCTGACTATGAGACAGCTTAACGGTAGAATCAATCATGTAACTGGAATCATTCCAGTGTGTCATTGCACCTTTAACTGTTGTCATTAATTGATTAACTCTTCATTTGTTCCCCCTTATTTACAAGCTCCCCTGTTATTGGCACAATACCATGCAATGATTGATTAGAACAGTGATACTTCAGAGGAGCACTTCATTATAACAGGTGTAATAGTTTACACCATGCTTCTCACATTTCCCACTTACCAAAGTTACATATTAATGGAGACACCAATATACGTTGAATCAAAAGGTTCCAGCACTGTATAATTTCATTGTCAATGTAATATAGTGAGGTTCTTATGACATAAGGAGATTGTTAAATAAGTGGTCCGACCTCTCAGGACTATTAAAAGTGGAGTGAAATGTCTTCTGTCGGTCAAACTCACATCTCAAGTGTCGTGTTCTTATTTATAGCCAGGCGGCAGGCTGCCAACTGAACAACACAACCAATCACCACCAACATTGTCACTGTATTCCCAAGGAACATGCTTTCTCTCTGAGGCGTAACACAAAAGAGTGAGAAACTTAACACAGACCAAGATACAGATTTTCCTGAATGTACTGATGTGATATTAATATTGCCATGATTGTTAATGGTCTGCCATTAAGCTTATTTAATAAAACTGAACACAAAGGACTAACACTCTCTCCGACACACGTAACAGGAGGGGCAAGTTATATTTTTTGTCAATCTTTTATTAGGAAACCAATTGACAATACCCTTTTTACACATTTTGGAATACACTGCAAACATTTTTTTTTCAGGCAATTTGTTACAATCGATATGAAACATAGTAAAAAGCTAAATATGGTAACTACAACGCTGATGGAATTACTGCACATTGTGTACAAGTCTGTTTAGGTCACACAACTGGCTTGTAATAGAATATAGTCATAGAAATGAGTGCAATTGACGGTATTTATTTATACTGAAAAATAAACATGATACAGATAATCATCCCAGGGCCAGCCCAAGACTAATGCTATTTTTCAATGCAAAACGTCCATACTGTCGGTATCCCTCCTGTTTTCAGTTAAATGGGACATTTTTAAATGTGATTTGAACTGTCATTATAACCATACATCATCAATAAAAAAAGGTTGATTAAGTGTGGTGTAGTTAAACGGCTTTGACATCATTTGGCACCATGTCCTTCATAGCAATAAGAGCCGGGCAAACCGTCAAAGCCTAAAATAACGTCAGGGCATGTTAAGGAGTCCGACACCTTTCTAAGTATGTTTCATCAAGTGATTTCACAGAGATAATAACAGACGGCAGACAGATTGAGTAATAAAGGCCAATGAATACAAAGTGCTCCTTTCAAAGTACCGGACTGATTCCCTTTTTTAATAGAATGGCTTGCGCTAGATATTAAATACTAGACAGATTAACATTATGACATAGTGCAGCAGAGTAAATCAATAAATCAATTGGAAGTTTAAATGTTCAAATGTCACTGTTTTTAAGGCATTTGATTGGCTCCATAACACTACTCCAATGATAAACTGTGTGTGCATAAAATTGCCATCAAGTCAACAGAAAAACAAGGTTAATGTCATTATCTAGCGTTTGAGACTGAGGAAAGGCCATCACATTTTTGTACGAGTGTTCGCTCTCACTCTGTTACAGATTTCTTGGGTTAGGGCCCATTTTACATAACAAAAAATATTGCACTACAGGAAGTAGAAAGCAGCACTGCTCAGCACAGCGATGATCAGTAACAGATCCTTTTTAAGATGCTTGAAGGCAAATAAGTGGCTTGCACTGACAGTAGAGTGCATAATCCACATTTATAAATGTGGATATGCAGTCGACTTGAAGCCACATCTGTGTTATTTGGCAACTTTGTAAAGAGGTTTTTGGGCTAAAAGGGACTCTCAGGAGATACAGAGGAGCATGAGATTACACAAAATTATTACGTCCGTGGAGAGCTCATGATTCAACTTCTACTGAAGTTTAATTAGGCCAATATTAGAGGGAAATTACTCTACTCGAACATAGCTTAAGGATTTCAGAGGAGAAAAGTTGTCATGTTTTTTAAGGGGATGATAGGGCCCTGTGAACGCTGCTGTAAAGTGCACCACATTTCTCTGAAAGCTGGACTTACAATAAGTGCCTGGAATTTAAAGGAATGAGTCAAAAAAAGCTTGGAGAAAAGAAATTACAAAGCAGAGGTTTGGAACAAAGCACATACAGTAATTCAGAGCAGAAAGGAGGTTCATTAAGGGGTCAGCACGTCGACACAGAGCCACGTCTAATTCTCCACCTTAAACATTACGCAAAGGGGAGATTTAAGCTCTTAAATCTGATTTCCCTCTAAACCTTGTCAAGTTTTCAAGATCATACTGTTTCCATCGCAGGCAAGGTAGTAAAACAACATTACATGTGCAATCTGATTGAGGAAAGAAACGGGAAACCTAAAAAAATGTTTATGGGACAATTAAAAAATTTGGCAAGACCTCATAAACATTAGCCTGGCCTGTTAAATGTTTTAAAGCTGCAGCAAAGTATAGAGGACAGGCAGGCTCTCCGAAGAACATGAGAGAGAAATAAAGCTCAAGTAATATTGTGAGACAAACGGTAGTATGCTGCATGCAATATGGGGAACTTCATATTCAGTATTCAGTTAATACCTTTTGAGTAATAACAGGAGGAAACGTGGAGCACATCTGGACTGTTATCATATGATAATAAACTTCAAAACTGTCATAGTCAGCACTTTCTGCACTGATTAAAGCTCCATCATCAGGAGATGTTGACTGTACAGTTCTTGAGAAAATATTTCACAATAAGTCGTTGTCTTTCTCAGGGGGAGTTGACCATCAGAATACTCCCCCAAAAAAGCCAAAGACAGAAGGACAACAAGGTTCACAATTAAAGGAATAGTTTTTTTCTAGGTAAAATCATGCATTTGTTTTCTTTCAGAGGTGGATAAGAAGAACACAAATACCTTCCTTTACCTGTCTGTTGGATATATGCAAATGACATCCACATATTAGCTTACCTTTGCATAAAGACAGGAAACTGGGGGAAACACTTTGCTCTCATTTGTTTGATAAATCCATTCAAAAAAGGATAAACAAAAGGCATTCACTATTGTAAAAGGGTTATGTGTTGTGAGTTTATTTGCTGGGACCAGTAACTTCCCAATATATCCACTGGCCAACAAATCGTTGGCCAAATTAATGCCTGAACAATGGAACATTAATTTGGTTAAAGGGTGGTATTAACAGATATAATGTGTTCATTAAGTAGATTTATTTACCTTTGAACAGATTTGGCCCTCTTCCTTTGCTTTCCTGTTTCCAGTCTTTATGCTAAGCTATGCTAATCGGCTGCAGCTTCATATTTAGCATTACAATATGACAGTAGTGTTGATTTTTTCATCTCATGTGCAGCAAAATTTGAGCCAGCATACTTTCCCAAATTTCCAACTATTCCTTCCAATGCAAAGCTAGTAGGCTCCCAAATACCTTTCATTCTTACAGTTCCACCATGTGACCACACTGATCGCATATTAACACGTCAGTCTAATGTGAACAATCCCGCTGGCTTGACCCTAAATCAGCATGATTTCTTGAAATAATCTTTCAAACAGCTCAACAAATTGAGATGACAGAATGGTATTGATGTTTCTAACCATATCCTGCTTCAATAAAATCTCATGATAAATATGTGATTATGCACATGAACTGTATAGATGGATCCTTCACAAAGTTGACAAAAGGAAATAACTTACATAATGGCAAAATCATTTGGTGAAATTGAACAATTTTCATTCCATGATTTGATTTGAAAATTGTAGATTTGTACAAATTTACAAGTACAAACAACTTCTGACTTCTTTAAAGATCTCTGGTCAGCATAGGGCTATAATACACCAAACAGAGGTCAGTGTCCATTACAGAAGCCAGTAAAATGTATTTATATATTTATATATATATATATATATATATATATATATATATATATATGGGGGGCTTTTATACATCAAAAGGTATAAATGCATGTTTTTTTCTCATTGCTCAGTATCCTTGAAGTACGTCTCCTACAAGAAATGTAACATTAGCTGTCTTGCGGTAGAAATGCTTTTGCTCAGCTATCAGTCTGCTAATGCTGCATCCGGGTGTCACTGATGGCGGGTTGTGTGGTTGTGACGGTTTGTGGTGCCTGTAAGTTGGAGCAGGTTGTGGACACAAGGGGAATGGAAAGGTCAGGCTACAGGCCATGGGGGGGGGGGGGGGGGAGACAGTCACCAGCATCAGCATCAGCAGCACGTCCTGCGAGACTCTGAAGCCTGTCGTCCCAGTTTGAAAGCTTTTCCTGATGTTCCTCCTGCTGCTTCTGCAACAGGGATCCGCTTACCTATGAGATGACACACACAAAAAAATACATGTATGCAGATGTAAAGCATGAAGCTTATCACTATGTCATCTTAGATTTAAATCCCCCAAAGTCCCATGTTGGTCGGGCACTAACACAAGTATTTCTTTCAAAGTTGTTTCTACAAACATTATTAATGATACAATAGTTGAGCTATGGATGTAAATCAAGTTTTCATGTTTTGACAAAATACAGACTACATACTGAACACGTGCTCAAGGTTATTTTGTATTTCACAATCATGCCCACATTGTTATAAAGTTGCTATTTTCTCTTTATGTTTCATTTTTCAGTTGCTATACCGAGAATGGGTTCAATTGCTCTCATAAGTAGTTGTCTGCAATTTTGTCTTTCAGAACATGGTGTCAAGATGTCCCAATAAAGTGGATTCTGCTTTTCTTTCACCATGGAGTTATCTGTAGCTTATCCTGAACAAGCTCTCTCTTCTGCCAAACATCTGATACAGATCCAGTAAACAATAACACTGTTGAACTAAATCAAAAATCTGGTCAAAACATTCTCTACCTGCTTTAAAACTCCAAGGCAGACGAGATAATTATCTTAAAGCAGCACAATAGTTAATTAGTCACGGCTCAAAGGGAACCTGAGGACGAGCAGGCAGAAGAAAACACACTCACTTATCTCTATAAACACCTCGTTGATGTTAATGGCGTTCTTGGCGCTGGTTTCTACGAAGATGGCATGAATGGAGTCAGCATAGTCCTTGGCATCCTTCTCTGGCACTTCCCTGTAAACATCAGAGACATGTTAGAATAATAACGGTGTAATATGTGAACTAAATCTCCAATTTCATGCATCATATGATAATAATCAAATGTACTTCTACTGCTATTACATGGAAGACTGACCAATTTCATGGACAATCTTATAAACAAAAGGCTTTTTTATTTTTATAACAGATAATAATATCTTTAACTTCTCTTCAAATATAAAAGATTAATGAGATGTTTATTCAAAACATGTTTGCTGTACCCATCTCCAGCATCTTGAAAGCGTTTAAGCTGACTATCAAGGTCAAAAGAGGCGAGATTGTGATCACCTTATAATTCACAACAACCTGTTTACACAGAGAACTAAACAGTAAGGGAGCCAATAATACTCCTTCATTGCAGTGGAACATATGAGCCAAACATTAAATATTATTCCATGTTTGCAATTTTAGCATTGACTCACAAGATTTTTTCACTCAAACCAGACATGTGAGATCCTGGCATCACTCTAAGGCTGTAAATAAAAAAGGAATAATCATAGTGCACCTTAGAAAATATCATTTCGGGCATACCTTGCGTCTAAAAGGTCACATTTGTTGCCAGCGATGGCAACCACAATATTAGGGGGGCCGTGCTGTCGCAGCTCCTTCACCCAGTTCTTCAGTGTTTGGAAGGATTCCTGTGAGGATCATACAGGTGAACATGTTAAAGTCAATAGCTCCTCAGAAGTCTGAGGTTGGACATGTTGACTCGAAACCTCACTTGACCATAAATCAATAGCTTTTAAGTTCTTATGCCAAGACTTAGATTTTTTTTTTGTTTAAAGGTGCAGTATGAAGTTTTGGTAGAGAAATGTGAAAGTTGGAGAAATTTATAGATGGTATTTGTTCATAACTCTCTACACAAACTGTCCTCAGAGGAAAATGTGGTCCCTTTAACACTGTGAAGATGAAGATCTATGCGAGAAGTTATGGTTGGGGGGCCCGCAACAGTTAAACCATAACTCTCCTGGTAGTTTTTTAGCTCCAAACAGTGTTCAGGGACCCATTTTTTCCTTTGAATAAAACTTGTGTATTTAGTTCAGAAAATGTAGCATATAATTGTTTCACTTCTCAAACTTTCAAATTTCAGTAATTAATAATGTGACAGGTCAGGGAATAAGACTTACAGTAGATCATATGATAGATGTCATATGTTTCTTTATAGTAAATATGAAGCTTGAGTCTGCCGTCTTTTAGCTTAGCTTAGCATGAGGACAGAGAATGGGTGGGAAATGGTAAGCCTGGCTTTGGTCCAACGTAACTAAACCTTTATACCTTAAGTCCTATGTAATTAACACACTACACAATGATTTTTAAATTCATTAAAGAATCTGATTTGTTAAAATGTTAATTTTAAAGGGGGGGTCATTTAATTTCTTGAGACTGGACTGGAGACTACGTTTTTATAATGCGCTTCCATTTTTATACAGATAGACAAACAAGATATAAGGTGAGAATGAGTGAGCTTGGGAGAAGTTTTATAACTTTTAGAAAAGAGCAATGCTAGCTGTTTTAACCTGCTCCAGTTTGGGGATTTATACTAAATTAAGCTAACTGTCTGTAGCATCACAGTTACCATGTAGACATGAGAACCATAAAGAAGAAAATTAATGTCTTTTTAAAAATACAGAGGAGTTACTTCAATACCTATTCATTCAAAATGAAGGAAAGACGTAACAAAACAATGAAGTAAGTAAGTACTTAGTGGATTACTCGGTGTAAGGATTAAAAAGTAAATAATACCTCTTTTGTGATGTCATAAACGATGATGGCCGCAGCTGAACCTCTGTAGTACATCGGTGCCAGGGCACGAAACTGTGAAAGGACAGCGAAGGGAAGCAATGATTAGTAAGACAAGGATGAAGCGGCGATTTCTAAAGCCAGTGTTTATGAACTATCAAAAAGGAGACGCACATCCCTCAGTGAGAGCTGGATCAAAAAAACATGATTAGGTAAAGAAAAGCAAACAAGATCCCCACCTCAAGAAGCTCCCGTTTGAAGGATTTATTGAATAAACCTTTAGTATGTTCTTCTGACACTACTATGTCTTTGTATGGCCTTGAAACCTTTTAAAACCATAAATAACAAAAGGAGTACTGACCAGTTATTTTAAAACTCTTTTCCAGACAATCAAGTTTGAAGACTGCTCACCTTAATGTTCTTGAAATGTGTTCATTATATATGCGAGTACATGGTTGCAATATAATGCGCCCTCATACATTTCCACTCTACAAACAAAGATTCAGACACAATATTAGGGCTTTGGGTGGGTATATCCAATCCATTACATAGTCACAGACCGTGGTGTTTACATAACTGCGAGTTTTATCAGACTGCATTATTAGTGCTGACTGTGAAAAACACAAAAAGTAGACTAAAAATCTGAGAAAATTCACCCTTATATCATTTTCAAAAACTGAACGCCCAAGTGGTTTGATGTAAAATGTGAGTATGGTGAGACTTTCCACACAGACCTCACACATGTGTTATATATCAAGAGAAAGATGAGCAGAATGTGTCCAAAGCTGTTAAAGTTTTGATATTTATAGAAGACCAGTTGATCTTAACCCAATAGATCAAAAAGCACAGCGTAATCACAACAACATGTGAAGAAGCCTGGGAGGCTCAGGGGGGCCTCCTGTTGCCAGGTTTTGGTATTTTCCTGGTTAAATTTATTTCCAAAGCTCGCTGAAACATGGCTTCAACACTTAGCCTGGACTGGTTCTATTCAAAAACCAAGTGTTTGAACCAATGCCAGCTGCATTACTTTATGGAATGAAATCATTCTCTCTTTTCTCTGCTACGTTGATCCAGACTTAAACATCTAAACTAGAGAATGGATTGCAAAGATGTTTGACACACAAATTCATCTGCCCAGAGCACGACACTCACCAGCATGAAGCGCTCCAAATCTTTTACTCCACCATGAGGATCATTTTAAATGTTTTTGAGTTGAATGTCACAAGAACTAATTCACAGATCTTCATGAAACTTGGAACAAGCATTCATATTCCTTCAAGGTAATGCAGGTGCAGTTTGTGACCATAAGAATTATAATTACTTTTAGGGCTGTCCAACTTTCAATCGCTGAATTTCAATTGTTAATCACAAATTCCATGAATTCCATTATTTTGGATGAAAACAGCTTTTGTTAGGCTTTTATTTTGAAATGTTGTACTGTCTTAAGACTGAGGGTACTTTAATTCCTTTTTGAGTACAAACTTGCATTTATTTTGAAATAAAATTAGGAACTATTAGTAGATCGTAAGTTAAGAAAAGCAAACAAGTTAAAGCTATAAAATGCCAGTCGACATGTTTATATGTTCATTTTAGCATGCTGCCTTAAAGTTCAAAGCTAATTCGTCTGTATAGTCATGGTGTAATCTTGTCACAGATGAAGAGCCAAGGTCTGAAAGGCATCGACATCTCGATAGGATAGGATACAACACGATACAATATCATCCCTGTCCATCCTGGTTGGACAAACTCAGATATTTTGGTCATCAAAAAACACACCACAAGTCTAAATCCAAGAAATTCAATCACAGTTTTTTTCTACTGTTGCTACAAGTCCTTGATCTCAATACAGTTACTACAGCCTCTACACAGTTTTTAATTTGCAGCCGCCTCTCTTGAACTCCTAACCTTTTCTAAGGCCTTCTTGCAATACACTGACTGTTCTGGGGCTCATTTTGCTTGTGTCAAGTTTTAAATAATGATATTTATTTAAAAAGAAACAACCGTGACTGAAAACGACCTTCACTTGGAATGACCTGGACCTTCCCGCCAATTCTATTTTCCTTTACAATATGATGGAATAAACTATCCATCTTGGAGTGACAGTGTTACCTCAGGAAAGCACACATTCCACATAATTACAGTTGTTACTGGCCCCAAGTCCACCAACGGGAATCCAGCTTTGGCAGAGGCACTGTGGAGAGGGCCGTCTGTATCACTGCTGGTTTTGCACCACCAACAGTCCTGTGTGGTCTCTCTCTGCCTTAACCCAAAGAGTAATCACAGCGAGACCAGACGTCTGACCACACAGCAGCCCAGAAAACAGCCCATGTGAAGCCCTGTAAGTGCTGATTAATTACCGAAACCACAAGCAAAAAAGACTACAAGGGTGCATAATGAAAGAAACCCTCCAGTTCTTGTAGGCTGATGGTTCGTCTTGCCTATTTTCTATGTGAAAGAACAGCCGGAGAGGAAGGGCTCGATGGGCTGTTGACAACTGGGCTTAGATGTACTCATGAGGCCTCATCTGGTCTTGAGATATGGATTGTAGAAATCACAGAGCTTCCTTTCTGCCCAGGCCTCCCCTTGCATGTGCCTTGGCTGGCTTTGTTTTCCCCTGTCTCAAATCAACAGCTTTTGATTGGCCAACACTCCGCAGAAGTAAGAGAAACAAGCACAGAAGGGCTTCAAAATACCACTGCGCAAAAACCTACCCAAGGAATGCTGCTATTTTGCCCATTGAGAATGGAACCTTTTTGGAGACTGGGAGGCCACATGGTAGTGAAAAAAATTGGAAAGAAGAGGTGGAGAAAATGGAAAAGCACACAAAGCAGCAATGACAGAAACAAAACTGATTGTTGCCAAGAAAATAATTGAAAAGAAACACTCCACTGGAGAAAATACAATAGAAAGGGAGAAAATAACACAATCTGACATGGAGATGCTGTGGCTGGAAGATAAGATACACTGGTAGGCAGTACATGTCAGTGATCTGAGACAGCTAGGGTTTCATCCTCTGGTCTTATCCTAAACGAGGGCTGCATTGATGTGCCCCTCAAGGGTCTAGAAGAAGGCCGAGGCCTCTGGAAGGAAAAGGAAGATAAAAGGCCAACAGCATCTTATCTCACTCTCTGGAGAGGACAGCAGCAGGGATAAGGCGTTACAACAGCAGGGGATTGTGCAGGAGAAAAGGAGACGGGTAGCTTAGAAAAAAAGGGAAGAGTCAATGCAGGGAAATGTGGGAGTGAGTCATGCGAGAAAGTAGTTCCGTACGCTACAAATACCTGGGGTTGATGTTGGTGGTAAGGACTTTAATACTGAATTTGACTTAAAAATCAAAAAATATAATGTTTCTTCTATAATCTGTAAGAGGCGTTGGGCCTAGACATGAAGCACGTTTGGGTTTAAAAAATTATTTCTGCTTTCCACACACTGGTTACATAGAAAAGTGGCATATGATAGTTACTAATTGATGGTTATATTATATGATAGTGACATGCACATGTGTTGTTTCTGAATGTTGCTGAATCATTGTTTGATATCATTTCTGCTTGTTGTAGTCTGTTGCTTGCTTTGGAACTTTTTATGCAGCAGTCTTGGCAATGACTCTTTTTGTAAAAGAGATTTGAGAACTCAATGGGAATATTTTATTATAAATATAATTAAGTTACAACTATAAATAGGAATAGTAAGGCAATGACACTCCATCTGTATCTTGAAATATATATGAATGCAATGAGGAAGAAAAAGTGCAATGGAAGAGAGATGCAGGGCACCAATCAAAAGAGTGTAAATCATGAATATACCACACATGTCTTTTGAATGATGGAAAAAGGGGGGACTTCTGTTACAAGAGCATTAAAAAGGGTAATAACTCATCAATAGAAAGATAAATGTTGCCCCCTATCGGAAATATTGAGTAACTGCACCTTTCACTCTCCTTGAGGCTGATTCAGGGAGTGGTGGGAGCACATGCGTGTAACTTTCTCACTTCCTTTAACACCACATGGGAGGAATCAGTAGATTTTCACATCGGCCAAGTCAAACCGATTGATTACAGTATCATAACTGTGTGCTGTTGTGGTTAGGCTGTACAGACTTAAAACACTCAAGATTTACAATGCTCCACTAGTCTATTCAAAAACAATGTGAAGGGCCAAAACCTCAGGGCATATCACTCACCCGCTCCTGTCCTGCTGTGTCCCAGATCAGGAACTTGTGCAGCTCATTCTGGTATTGCACCGTCTTGGTCATGAAGGAAGCCCTGGTGAAGAAGACAAATTAGTGCTTCAATTGTTTTGAATAAGACACAAGAGAAATATTAGATGATCAAACAAATAAAACAAATTCATAGAGCTGCAACTTAAGATTCAAGGTTTTGTCCCAAAGAATGATATCAACCTATGCACCCTGTCCCTGCTTTAATGCAAATACTGTAAAAAGATGAAGAAGATATACTTTATAAATCCCGCGAGGGGAAATTCAATTTTACACCCTGTTGTAGAACATGCTACACACATGTAGCTACATGCACTAATTGAGAGATGTCTGAGTGAGGGGGCGAGCACTCCTGAGCTGGTGGGGGGGTTCTAGTGCCTTGCTCAAGGGCACCTCTGCATTTCTCAGGAAGTGAACTGGAACCTCTCCAGCTACCAGACCAAATTTCCAGACTTGGTCCGCACCGGGACTTCAACCGAAAACTATCTACCTCTTGTAAATTAACCCATCTGTTGCCTAATTACATCATTTATTATCATGTTCATTTCAGCATTAATTGCACTTTTCATCTCTGCACTATTGTATTTTTTAATTAGTCCTTCTTTATGCATTTGTTTACTGTTTCATATTTAATGTTATACTTTTGTACATAGAGAGCACAGTTTACCAAAGTCATATTCCTTGTATTTGTGAGCCAATAAAGCCGATTCTGACTCTCATTTTGAAGTCTGAGACAGTAACAGCTTCCTTTATAGCCTCATCTGGTTTGTAGTATTATTACAATGTGTACCAGCTTTAGTAAACAACATACTCCCAAATGAAAAACTTTCTCTAAGACTTGTAATAATTAGAGTTCAGCAAATAGTTTATTTTTGATATGTTTTGGTTCTTAAACAAGCTTTTGATTATAAATTCAATAACAATATGTCTGCCAATATGTAAAGGTTATTTCACAAAAATATCCAACTGTGTTTGTTAGAGTCATGCAGAGTCTGTTTGTAATTTAGTGCCTCAAACAATCAGGCCTATTTTTCATCGGCTATCTGTTTGTTATTAAGTCGTTATAGAGGCAGCAAATAATGTCCAATATTTTGATCAATACTCATTTATTAAACCAACTTTAGTGTTTTACTAAAAGTATGTTCCATAAGATGTAAAACATGTCTTCATGTCCTGTGATCTGCGACTCGACTGAACAAACTGTGAGCCTAAATCCTCAGGAAGACGTTCTGAGGTGGACTGTTCAAAAGAATCTGTTTCGATTGGGTGAGACCAGCAGGTGAGTCTGTGTCCGGCGGGACAGGAAGACTCTGTAGTTAGCAACCTCAGAGCACTGGATTCTCGTGGGTGAGCAGAGCGGATCACTTCTAGTAATCGTTAATTATTATTGACAGACCCAACACAAATCTCCATAACAAATTGGTGAATATATTTTATATTCTATTATCATGTTTCTGTATTTCTTTTGGATCTTATTTCATTAATTCATTTCTTTTTAAACATATTTTCCTATTTAAGCTTTTGATGCTTTGTGTAAGACCTTTAATGCAGTCTAATATAAGGCAAAGACAATAAGCCACTCCTTACAAAGAATAAGATAGAAGCAGAAACATTTATATATTTACAGAAAAGTTTTATAAGCAATTAGTTGAATATCAAAATTGTTGCTAAATAATTGTTTTAATCTTTCAACTTTTATTACATGTTATTACATGTTTCTAAAGACAGAAATGACCTGACTTCACAATTATGTCCCACAATACTAAACACACACCACTGAAACGGAGAAGTAACATGACTTGTAGCGTGAGAGAAAGCAGGAAACCGAACTCACCCAATTGTTGGGTTGATGTTTGGGTCAAAGCTGTCCTCCACAAATCTCCAAACAATACTGGATTTTCCAACGCCAGTGTCCTGCGCAGACAAAATAAAGAAGATGCTTACTAAACACGGCCATAAACTATTAATAGAAGTGTAATCACAACTATAAAAACACACTCTCTGGCAACGTGCCCAGACATTATGGCTTTTTCATGGCAGCTTCTTCCTTCCTGCTTCCCGTGTAGGTCTGCTACTTTGTAATAGTTAAACAGGGAAGACGCAGTTAAGCTTACATTCTTGCTGCATTGTTGTTTTGATGTACGGTATTTGAAAAAGGAGGAGTGGAGGATGTTGGAGGGGATATTATACAACGTTTCATAAAGTTAAATATGTATTAGGGCTGTAACTAATGAATATGTTTATTACTGGCTATAAAATAACAGCAACAATCCATTACTTCCGCCTGGAAAATTTAGGGAAAATGTTCTCCGTGCAAGTTCAAACGTTTTGTTTTATCTGACAGGCAGTCATAACCCTTTAGATATTAGATTTACAGTCAATTAACCTCACAAGCATATTATTGGGAGGAGGCTTGAGGTGACTTCAAGAATTTCTTAGTGAGATTGATTATAAGACAAGATAAACTACAACCATTATGGCAAGAAACTATGTGCGCTTCAAACACAAAAGGGGTATTTGTCAAGTGTAAAGACCTGCTGTCCATACATTCATAAATGTCATTCTTACCTTTGTAAATACTGACCAAAGCAAAGATCAGTGACATTAAATAAAATACACAGCTAATACACATGTACGGCTGAAATAAGCAGTTATTTTTCTGATTATTATTAGTCTATAAAATGTCAAAAATAGTTACAGTGTGCCATAATAGATTCCACTGACCTAACCTGACATCTTCATACGCCTTGATTTGAGCCCAAATTGATGTAATCAGCAAATTTGGATTTCAAAATATGGAACCAGGAAATGTTTGGCGAGTTGTTTTACTTTTGCTTTTACTTATTGGTAGATTAGGGAGTAAACAGATGCTATAATGTTAAAAAATGATGTGGAATATAAGCTGTTGTTAAGACTGTTTAGAGATGTGGACAGGTTGTTCATCCTATGGCTGACTTAACATTGAGAAAGTGATCAAAAGACAGTAAAGTAATCAGTCAGTTTAACTTATACAGGCTCACAGATTATTAAAGTGATAAAACAGAGAAATGTCCATCAGTCTGATGAAGTCTGATGAAGTCTGATGAAGGAGCAGTGTGGCTCATTTGATGCCAGGTACAGATAAATACAGATAAAGTATGAACTAGAAATACGCAGGTTCAAATAAAAGTCGATGCACACTTACTTACCCCCAGGAGACAAACCTTCAACTCTCTCAGGGCCATCTCGATCTCCTCTCTCTCTCTCTCAAGATGACTTTATGATGAAGAGCATTGACAGTTTTCTCCTCTGGCTACCTCTTTATGTTGAATATTCTTCAGGTGGTCTTTTGTTTACAAATAACTTTACCTCATCGTGGCCAAAAGCTGCCAAATGCACATCTCAGGGCTGGGGTTATAAATCTATACTGTCAGCGTTAAAAAAAACGTGGTGGTAGTCCGCTGTTATTGTTTGTTATTAGTAAACAGCTAGCTAACAGTGAAGACACCAAAATCGCTCAGTCTCCATCTTGAACTCCTGCGCGCGGTCACGTGACTTTTCCGGCTTTTTTTTTTTTTTTTTCCTGTTTTGTTTGTTTGGAGACACACAAAGCCCCCCCATAGGCTGTGTTTATGTTCAGGTATGTCGAGGTACAGTCGTAGCTGAGACGCATTTTATCAAGTGACACCGTCGTTGTTTTAACTTTTATAATCAACCGGGTCTTACAACAGCATCAGGAAGTACTTTTTCAGGAAGTAGTTCTCCTGCCTTGTTTGAGTGACAGCTGTGCGGTGGTGACAGCCCACACGGGACGGGCAGCCCCGCAGAGCCGAGCCGAGACTCAAGATGGCAGGTAATGGCACTTTTTTTTTTTTAAACACTTATTTTCTTCCTCCTTTTCACGTCGTGTTGGCACCTATTAAGCAGGGTTTTTTTTGTTTTGATGCGCTTCTACTTAAATAAGCGGCTCCTTGCTTTTACTACATTGTCGGCGGTCTCAGGCGATGCTAAGCTAAGTCGAGCTAAGTCAAGCGAAAAGGGCTGGACGAGCCGTGTTAGCAAACTTAGCACTACTAGCCAGCTAGCTCACGAAAAGCGTCTCTTGGGTTATCGACAATGTGTGACTCCAGGGCTTCATTTAAGTGGTTGAATATTCACGGTGAGCAGGTGATTCTTCAGCTGCTGTCTGCTGCAGACATTGGGTGTCGTAGTATTCCTCCAGAAGCGATAATTATCGAGCTGTTGCCATAGCAAAGGCTAGCGAGATGACCTAGCTAACGTTAGCCATGTTGCTAAAGTCATTTTCAGCCGTAAGCTGACCAAATCCTCCTTTTATACCATAACAAAGGGGAGGTGTTGTTTCTTTGCCAGCATGTGGTTTTGTGGGGGTCTTGTTCAACCAGCTGCAGTTACGTTTAATCTACTTGTAATAAAACATGTAATGTGTCGTTTCAAGGCAGCAGTTGTTTTTCCACATTTCGTGCACATTCCCTTGCTGGTCCAGCTGTAAACACTGGCTTATAGCCGTCCCACCACATGCTGCTTCTTCTGGGATCTCTTTTCTAGGATCTTCTTTTGACCACCCTACACAGTGCTGTTGACAGGACTAAGTGTTTTTTTTTTTTTTTTAAAGAAACAAAACACGTTTGCTTAGTAGAGTTTTCTTGTCGTGTTGGTATGAAACTCTCTGAACGTCAAGTGTGTGTTCCTCTCATTGGACTGTGCGATACAAGGGAGGCAAAGCTGAACACACCAATCAACCAAAATAGAAGCTGATGTTAGAGCATTATGTATTTCTTAAGGCTTTTTATGCCTAAAGTTACTGGAAACTATCTTAAAGCTCCATCTTAGATGTACATTATATATGTGATCGTTGTTTGGATTGTATTGTATGTGTGGGAGACAGTTCAGGCATGAAATAAGACTGCATTATATTGAAAACATAAACAGGGATTTGCCAAGCCTCATGCTTAAATAACTCCAGGAGAATAGAAATGTTAGTACCCCGTTTGAAAGGTATTGTAATTTAGCATTTCCTTTTAAACAAACCAACGCCATGGCCTTGTCTTCCTATTTGTGACATGGTGAATTTAGATTAGGTGAAATTAATTGATTAATTTTATCTCATTCAGAGAAATTGAAGCGTCATTGCTGCCAAACGAATGCATATAAGAGATATGCTACTATAGAAAAAGATCCCAGTTTACATTATGAGCATCAAAATAAACAATATCCCAAATATTATCGGCAACTTTTAAGGATATCGAGACTAAAGTGGATGTAAATATAACATTTGAAAGAATGTACACCCCAGAGAACATAGTCAGGTGGTCGTTTCAGTGTCTTATGACTGCAAATAAAGCATTGAGAATATGCATAGATTTGCAAAAGTAACATACTCACACAGAAATGAAAGCTTCCTGCTGTTTAACAAGCAATTCTTCGGCCACAAGCATCTGTACCTCAGGCGAATACCCATATGAAGGCAATAAAAGATGTTTGTTCGTACATCAAAATAACCTGTGGCATTCTGTTGGAACAAGCACCTTTACTAGATACGTTTTGTAAATGTTCGACATGTATTTAAGAAATGAACTAAGATACATATTAGCTTCAAATCAATGAAAGGATATCACATTTATCTTTCCTGTCTTATTTTGATTTCTTCTTTTTTGTATCACTACACTTGTGACGTCATGTGAATGCTCAGCGTTTCAGCAGCACACTGACTTATTGTCTGATTAAAGCAGACTTTGTTCCTTCTCAGTAATTGTCAGCCTGTAAACCTGCCAACCCAGTTCTCCTTTCATTTTGAAGGGGGAGTGGTCCTATATAGATAAATGGTATGTTGATGACATGTTGTTCGCAATGGATTCCCCCTCTAATCGCCTTATCCTTGCAGGTCTATCTTTATACTTTGAAGATGGCCATGATGATTTAGATGACTGTGAGTACACTTGTTTTTCTTTATTATGAAAAAAAACAAACAATATATGGATTGACAGTTTAATTCTGAGCAAATATGTGGGACTGTTGGTGTTTACTAGACTTGTTGAGGTGTCATCTTTCTTGGCAGCCCCATGCACCCGTGTGAAATTCATACCTGTCAACAGTATTTCAGGGTTTTACACTATGCTATTATTAGCATTTATATAGACCAACAGTCCCTGTTGTCTGCATTAGCTAGGGTGATGAAACAGCGTTTAGATCCAACTGCAAAGCCAGTGTGTATTTATGGCCGGAAAATTAAATGGAATAAACCATTAGACACAAGACTTTGAGCTTTATTCACACATTTAGTCTGACTCAGTAAATTCAACATGGCGCTTTGATTACTGTAATTTATCTTGTCAGTCCTCATTCAAATGTTTTGTTTTTGTAGACTGGCAGCTAGCTGTGTGCTTCAGACATGTTTCCAGTTTGTGTGCCTATAAATTGATCTCTTCTCCATTCCTCCAGTTGGGTTCGATGACTATGGTTCAGAGTGCGACGGCATCCGCATCACAGCCTTCCTCGATGCGGGACAGGACAACCTTACTCCTCTCGGGAGGCTAGAAAAATATGCCTTTAGTGAGAATGTCTTCAACAGGTAAGGGGAGCCCTGTGGTGTGCTGTTGAGTCAACATTGTGCAAAATCAGACAAAATGGTGAACGTCCAATCAGACAATTACAGTAAATAGAGAAGACATGTTGTTTAGTCACATTCAAGAATGATGTGTTCAGGCTTTGACTCTAGATGAGGTTAAAACAATTTGTTCAACAATAGAAATTTTCCTTGTGCATGCAGAAAATCAAACATAAAAACAAAACAGAAGTACAGTAAAGCCTGGCTCAGACTGCAGGATAATTGGGCCGATTTGATGTCCAATTCCTTCCTGAGAATCGCAGGGTTGTTCCTGACTCAAGGCAGGTGGAACCGATTTTCTGCTCAGATTATCTTGTAGTGTGAGTGTTTTAAAGAACCGATCTTAACGTCCCTGATCTGTTCGGAGATCGTCGGGGACGCCCCGCTTTATTTCAAACATGTTTGATATTTAGAATTCAAAATCTTGATGATTATATCATGAAGGGGTCGAGCAGAAGTCGTGTGTGACTACAATAACCGCAAGAGACAAAGGAGGACGGTAATAAGTGGACAGTAGTGGCAACAGGACGCAACCCGCACAGGTGCACCAGACAACTGTAATGCATATGTAGGTTACAATCTTACCTCAAGCTCTCACTGAGTAATTTACAATCCATGTGGTGCATGTCTCCCCAGACATATTATCACCCAAAACATTTTTGTTTTTTTACATGTTTTTCCTCTCTGAACAAAGCATTAGAATCGCAAATTTAACTGCCGTTTATTTGGTTAACATGAGGTCGTGGAAGGTGATGGTTCCTCGGCTGGGCATGATAATCTTAATAAAATCCAGTAGTCTGTGATGTGCCAAGATTTTCATATCTTGTAGTGTGAGCATGTTTGAGATTATGGAGAAGAATATTTGTGACGATTCTCCTTATACTCCTTATTATATTCTCCTTATGTCGTGTGTGATAATGCCCAAATTCAAAAGTGTTTTAAAACTCCTACAGTTTGAGCTAGGCTTTAAAAGTGTCCTAGGTACTTAACTGTAAGAACCGAATCAATGTGTAATATACAGTCTAAATGGGCTGTATGCTTTGGTAGCAGACAGACAGACAGACATCAATAAGTTGCTGTCCTCACTGATTGGAGTAATTTAACACAACATGGACAAGCAATTTATTTTAGTTACACTTGTGTACTGCTGCTCCTGCTGTTCGTAGCTTACGTTAATGGATACATTAAATTAAAATCAATGACCTCTGTATCTGCACTTTTTAAAGTTAAGGTATTTCAAGAAAGCTTTTTGGACTAAAGCCATACACTTACCAATTGCCACACTCGTGCCTTTATTCAATTATGTTTCTTTTTTGACCATGGCTGTTTCCACAATATCATTTTGGAAATGAAAATTCATCCTTTTTTCTAAATGGCCTTCCATTTACAGTAACCAAGCTTATCTCACCCTTTATGTAAATTTTTGTTCAGTGTGTGATTAAATTTAAAAAAGTACTATGTTTTAATCTGTCTTTAAAAAGGATGACTTCTTTAGTATTTTTGCATTGCATGTGAAAGTAAACTTTGGAAAACTACAAAGTAATTAAAAAAAAAAAAAAAAAAACTTGGGTGTGATTTTGAACTTGACCTGCAGTTGGGTTGATGTGTCTTCATGTTCATGACTTGTGTTGCAAGCATGTTTCTGTCCCCAGTGGTTTGAACATGAAGGAAACATCTGCAACCAAGTGGAACTCTGTTTCTAAGAAACATCTGTGAAATGATTGAGGTGTCACTTCTTGTAGAAAGTGATAATAAAGATTGGACCAGATTTTTTAAATGCTCTTTAAATTTAAAAATAATTTTTTGAATAATGTTTGGCGCTAATTTAAGTTCCATGTTCTATACTGTGTAAACATTGAAGTTATTATTTTCCCTTTGAAAAGACAGTTTCGTTGTTAGATTGTGCACATTGTGTTGCCTGATTGCAAAGTAAATGGCTGAATGAGCCTTAAGTTACTCCATGATACATTTTTAATATTTTTTTTTAAATGCTACTGTATAATGCATTAATTGTATCATAAACTCTTTATGGAAATATTTGAATGTTAAATCAACACATTGTTCCATCTCAAGTCATCGCGATGAGTTTTTATAGTCCTCTGGATAACATCTGCATTCCTGTGTATTTACTTATCACATACCTGCTTTAACTCTATAGTGCAGGAATGCCAAAGACTTGAGCCAGGGGCGGATGGTGTCTGTCTGAACATGGCATTTGTTTGACAATGCTAGTTGTATTTTTCAGTTTTTCCAACTTGAGAAACATTTACATTTTTTTTTTTTTTTTTTTTTTTTTGGGAGAATTATGATGCACTACTTTCTGTGTAGTGAAAGCGAGGCAGATAGCTTCTCTAATACTGCTCTGTTGTCCTCACAGAAACATGTTTAGCTCTTGTCTTAATGCTTTTCATGCTCAGCTGTGCAGGGTTCAACCCTCCTGTCATTTCTAAGCCTGTGTGTGTTTATAATTTACTTGACAGCTCTCTCTGTGCTGTGTGTTATGTTGTGTGTGTGTGTGTGTGTGTGTGTGTGTGTGTGTGTGTGTGTGTGTGTGTCTCCGCCCTCAGCACTCCTAGGTATTGGCAAGCACTCCACTAACTTGACGCTTTTGTTGCTTTCTAGGCAGATCGTGGCTCGCGGCCTGCTTGATGTGCTTCGAGAGTTCAGTGACAATGAAAATGACTTTATCAGTGTCATGGAGACAGTTGCCAGAATGTCAGAAGATGGAGGTAGATGTATTTTCCTTTTTATTTATTTAGTTGTCATGTCTCTGGATACGTTTGAGCCTTTATTCCTTTTAATTTGTCTTTATTTCTGAAACACTATTGAACTTTTAACACAGTACGTGAACATAACACTTGTTGCCCTGTAATGAACACTTTTTATGTTTGAAAGTCAACCTTCAATGTGTTCACACAGAGCCCACAGTACGAGCTGAACTGATGGAGCAGGTCCCCAACATCGCCATGTTCTTACATGAGAGTCGGCCCAACTTCCCTGCTGCTTTCTCAAGATACTTGGTTCCCATTGTAGTCCGATATCTCACTGATCCTAATAACCAGGTAGGATTAGTCTATTACCTTTCTAGCAGATCTTTTAGATGGATCTCTAAGCAGTTCTTTCTTTTGATTGGTTCTTCTGCCCGTTTCTTTCTCAGAGGAAAAAGGAACTTGCGATAAGAGTTCAAACTGTTTTTTTTCTATCTTTCTATCTTTCTATCTTTCTATCCTTCCAGGTGCGAAAAACCAGTCAGGCAGCGCTGCTCGTTCTGTTGGAGCAGGGTCTGATATCTAAAGCTGATATGGAGACTAAAGTTTGTCCAGTTCTGCTTGAACTCACAGAACCCAGCAGTGACGATGACTACAAAATCGAGGCAGTTGCGGTAAGATTTAAGAGACATTTAATAAAACTGATTCGTTACTCATCAACAGGGTGAAAGGCTTTGATTGAATTTAACGCAAAAGACAACTACAGGCCCAGTGTCTTTCTTTAATAACTTTACTGTGATTGGTTACTGTATTTGTTTGGATGGAGTATGACTGATGCCAGCAGAGATTGTGTTTTTTATATCATATAAACTGAACTATATCATGTGTTACTGAACTGTCAGTTATAACAGCTCAGTGGTGACTGTGGTTATGATTTGTATGCTACTGTAAATGTGGTTCAGTCTCCTTACACACAAACCTCCTCATTATTCTCTCTGTGTTTTCTCTGGCAGATCATGTGTAAAGTTGTCACCATGTTGAGCAAAGACACAGTGGAGCATCTATTGCTGCCACGCTTCTGCGACCTGTGCAGCGACGTCAGACTCTTTCAAGTCCGCAAGGTAACACTCTAAAACCATTTTCACTTCCTGTAAAGGTCAAGGAACTTCATAAAGTCTAAAATTACTTTACAACCGATGAGATAATCTGTTTCAGGCTGCAGTCGCAAACATTTATTTGACCTAGGGTTTAACTGGTTGTCATCAGGATAAATGCAATAACACTGTGAGCAGCCTTAACTCTGTTTTGCACATCACTTACTACGCTGTTGGTTTCTTTGAGGAATGTTTATTCCCTGGAATATATATATATATATATATATATATATACAATTCTGTGACTTTGTTCTGCTTTTGTGTAGTCATATTTTTCTTAAAGACTGAACTTTGCAGTTCATTTGTTTTTTGCTATTGTTGCCCGGGGCAACAGTCTTGATAAACATGTAAATCCCCATTTCATTCAGTGAGTCATCAGAGAATCAGCTTTTGGTAAATTGAACAACATGACTCCAAATTAACATATTATGTTCATACAGAGTATCAATCTATTGACCACATTTTAATGATATAATATAATAGAAGTAGTGTTTATTGTACTGATAAAAAATGATTACATTTAAGGCTGTGTGTGTAAGAAATGCTACCTAAGAAAGAGCTACGGAACGAGAGATGGAAATATGATGAATTTGAGGTTTAAAATAATAGTTAAGTGAAGCTTTTTCTGCTAAAAATCCAGATACCAGACTGTTAAGGACTTTTCTTTTTTAAATATGGAAATTAGATTCACAAGGTCATGTAAATCCCACGTGGAAGAGATGCAAACTGCCCTCAAGACATTACACAAAATAGCGAATGCATGTGGCTCTTGTTGCTAAGTGACCAAAGTTAAGATGAAAGACAAAGTTGTACACTCACACTTAATGATTGGAGGAGATTTAGTAACTTGAAATGTCTTCATTATGATATGATATGTTAACATAATAACTTTTGATATATACTGTATTCTTCCTATTTCTGTTTTTATAGCCCTTAAAAGACTCTATGCACGTCTGTAATATTTTTTGCTTGATGTCTGGTGGTTAAAGGAACGATCATTGATATTTATTTGGCATGTACACTTTGTTGAGTTGATTTTCATGTTTGTTTTGTGTCTTTCAGGTCTGTGCAGCTAACTTTGGAGAATTCTGTTCTATTGTGGGTCAGGAGGCCACAGAAAAACTACTGGTGAGAGACTCTGAGATGTGAAATAAATCTGATACTACAATTTTTGTAGTGAGTGAGTTTTTAACTCATGCAGTCTTGTTTTACATTCTGTGAAGAAACTAAAAGTAAACCAAACTGTCAGCTAGAAGATAAGCATATCTATACAGTTATTTTTAGACACCTGTCAGCAGGTCAGATGTGATACAACTACCGTTTACAACTTTATGTAACACGAAGGTTTTGTACTGATCAGAAAAGTGTTGCCTTAGAGCGTCAAATTATCTGTGTTTTTTTGTTCCTAAACTCACTTCACATCACATGGAAACATGTACACCACAATTGTACCCTTATGCGTCTGCTGTTGTCAAATGCTTTCAAGTTATAAAGTTCAATATTAAGTTATTCAGACTCTGTTCTGATTGTTTTTAGATGCCCAAGTTCTTCGACCTGTGCTCAGACAGCCTGTGGGGCATCAGGAAAGCGTGTGCTGAGTGCTTCATGATGGTCTCTAATTCCACATCTCCAGAGGTGCGACGTGCAAAACTATCCCCACTGTTCATCAGTCTCATCAGTGACCAGTCTCGCTGGGTAAGACAAACACACACACAAATACACACCCAAATCTAGGACAACTTGAAATTCATAAGCTTTCATAACAACATTTTTTTTTTTTTTTGTGTAACTTCCTGAACAGTTAATTTTAGAATCCACTGCATCATTGTCTTGTTCCTGATTTTGATCTCTTGTGTTCACTTTCATTAGAATTATTATTTTTTTTACACTATCATACTGCTAGATAAAATGTAAAAAAAAATAAGGGAGCAAAAACTTAATTCTAATTATTGAAAAACTGTAAAGTATTTCATAGAAATCATTTTTTTCCCACAAAACAAGTGGTGGGGTGCTGATGAAAACAAGAGAATTTGACTAACTGATGCACCTATTAATTGGCAATTAAATATACTACTTTGAATGCAAATGTGATTTTCAGTATGGCTTGAAGCTTTAAGGATGTCGGTGTTCTGGCCTTAAAGAGTCACTAGACTTGAGTGTAATGTTTATTTTCAGTGTGGGTCCATGTGTTGTACATTTGGCCTCTAATCACGTCCATGAGGTTTCACACACAGTTGAGAAAGTTTGATGTTATCTGTACATGCGGAACTAACGTACAAACAGACCAGCAGTGTTGTTGGCGGTGTTCTATTGTAGATTAGTAGGTATGAAATGCTGCTCAATACAGATAAACTGCTCATGAACAGATGAAGATCCTGCTCAGTAGATTTAAAAAATCTCTGTAGTGATAATAATGGAACTGACATATTTCCCCGTTCTCTACTTTTAGGTGCGACAGGCTGCCTTTCAGTCTCTGGGACGTTTTATTTCTACCTTTGCCAATCCCTCCAGCACAGGCCTTCACTTCAGAGAGGATGGAGCACTACTAGAGGTCCCCAGGTGTACATTAGACAGGTAGGTTTCATCAGCAATCTTATTTTTCGTTGAACATTTTGTGTATTGGTACAGGTTGTATTTCTTTATTTGTTGTTGTTTATCTTGTATTGTTACTCAGTAAAGTAAACTCTATATGTTCTGGCAGTAAAACCATCATGAGCGTTTCTTGGCACAGATGCTGATAATTATTGCATCACTGGTCCGTATTCCCTGGGTGTGATCAAGTCGGACCAGTTTTTTCTTTTTGTTGGAAGGTTTATCTACAAATCAGGGATGTAAACGACTGCATGATGGCACTGATGTATTTCATGAATCCAAAGTCATGTTACCTATTTAGATGTGCTTTGTTGAGTTTAAATTTACTCTACTTGCTACGCTACAATTTGAGTTGGTTGACCAATCTGTTTCTCATCAATGGTGACAAAGTTGTGTTTAAGATATATATTTTGTTACTCTTATTTCAGCGACTGCTCCCTAAACTCTCTCAACTGCTCCGACTATAGTGGCTGCCACACGGGAAGAACCATCACTCACACGCCTCCCAATCAAGACGGCCGCGCCACACCTTCCCCAGAGCACGTGTCGACAGCCGATGATATGCACAACTATGACGACAACCACGCTTCAGTTCCCAGAGAGATGCACAGCAGCTTCGCCCGCACGATCTCAAACAGCAACGCCAGCTCAAAAACTACAAACAACGCTAGGAACACAAAAGACACAGAGCAGACAGACGAGAACTTTAACTCTTTCCATTATTGGAGATCGCCCCTACCAGACATCAGCGGGGAACTTGAAATGCTTAGTAGTCAAACGTCAGTGGAAGAGACAGAGAATGAGGAAAAGCAGGAGGAGAAAGAGGAGGAGAAACATGAGGGCAACTGTCCTGATACCAAGCCCAGCCCCAGCCAAGCTACAAGTGACCAGATCCAGAAGGTCTTAGACTGTTTGCAGCCTCACATGGATGACCCTGATGTGCAAGGTTGGTTTAAGAGTGTAGTGTTTGTACAATTTTGCCAATGTATTGTCTACATTAGATTCATTTTTTTTGGTGTATTTACCTTCAGCTCAAGTCCAGGTGTTGTCAGCAGCTCTGAAGGCAGCCCAGCTCGACAGCCCCACAGACGACAGCCCGACAGACCCCATGGACCCCACGGACCAGACTGAACCGCAGCCAGAACAGCAGAGTGAGAGTGACTCTGACAGCCCCTCTGTGGAGAGCAAATCTGTGGAGGTTCAGTCAGAGAGTGAAGAGAGTCCCACAGAAGAGGAGCAAACAATGGAAACCTCTCCATCATCAGAGTCGAGCCCTGTCCAGGAGCAAGGAGATGAGGAGACACAGACTGAGCCGCTGGAGGACCAGGAGGACCAGGAAGAGTCGCCATCTGACTCGCCTGTTCCAGTAAGAGACTATTTTGGTGCAGCATGCAGATTTGCTGTAGATACAGATCGTTTCATTTGTAACTCAACATATCTCTCAATGGTTGCACCACCACTCGTCAGATATTTCATGACATGGTCAGCTGTGTCCTGATTCAAAGAATCATTTTTAGTATTCAGACATATTCATGATGATGTCAACATTAGTAAAAGATAACGTTTATAAAAAACATGCCTTCTTAGTTATAAGATCAATTTAATTTTAACAGTAACAGCCCGGCTGTTGTCTTCAGACTTGAGGGGGTGTTTCGTGATCATATTTATCCAGCATTTTACTGGAGAATGAAGCAATTAACTCCACACCTGTCAGAAGACTGGATTTAAGTCCTCAATCCTGATTTGTGCATCTCATCAGTCTTTGACAGTAGAATATTTTTGAAGAAAACAGAAGACCAGTCGTATCCTTCACATCTCTGTAGATCCAATGATAGTTAAAGGCTGCCGCTAACTCAACCCATTGATTAATGACCTTGTGACCTTTGCTAAAGGAGAAAAATTAGCTCCCTGAATGTTAAATGTATCTTAAATTTGCAGTGCGCCTTCTTGTTTCCTAATGGTGTGGGTGGGTTTTTTTTTTCTTCCAAGGAGTCTGAACTAATTGAGAGTGTGGAGGAGGAAGGAAAAGAAGACTCTGCACACAGCCCAGTGTATGAGGAAAAGCCTAAGATCCAGGTCGGTCAGCAACTTGTATCAATCATCCTGCAAATATTGATCAAAACCTCACAGTTAGCATAGATAAGCACATACATGGATTATTGAATACCTGCTCCCTATGCATCCTCTCTCCTCTTTGATCATCAATCTTTTTAATCTCTCTGTTTGCAGAATGTCATCCCGCAGCAGCTTTTGGATCAGTACCTCTCCATGACCGACCCAGCCCGGGCTCAGACAGTGGATACAGAGATTGCCAAACACTGTGCCTTCAGCCTGCCGGGGGTCGCGCTCACTCTGGGACGACAGAACTGGCACTGCCTCAAAGACACCTATGAAACGCTCGCTACTGATGTGCAGGTAGGCAGAGAAATTCAATTTTAGAGGGTCATGGGGGATTTGCTGTTTAACTCCATGAGACGAGCTCTAGTATTGTGATTTATGCAGATATTGAAGCCACACTTTGATGTGACTTTGATGTAAAGCTCTGTTTAATATAATTTAGCTTCAGGCTCAACTGTTTGGATTTTTGAGCTATGGGAATAATGATTTAAATTTGTTGGAAATCAGTGCAGAAAACACAAACTATGAACAGCTGTGGTCGCAGAGATTTAATCACTGAAAAAACATCCAGTGCATTTTATATATATATATAATATAATTTAAGAAATTGTCAATTTAATTCTTTACAGAAGTACATGCATGTTAACTTTACATACTGGGTGCTAGTGGTGTGCAAAACTGACCAAATTGCTAAATGTTTACACGTGGTGAAGCAGTCTTGTGTTGGAAATGATTCTCTGCTTCCAACTTAGACGTTGTCTGTAAATCTTCTGTAGATTCATCAGCTTAACTAGTTGTTGCTCTTGCAGCGTTTTAAATGTTCATTCTGGTAGATCAGCATTTCTGTAAGTGAGTATAATTTGATTTGGTGGGATTCTTTGTGTAGGTTTGATACCTGTATGCTCATCACTGTTTGAAATCATGGGACTCAGTTCTAGATTGTTGTTGTTTTTTAAACGAGGTCGAGAAGTGAATGTTTAAAGCTGCTACCAGAGTTTCTTTCAGCCACTTTATTTAGAAACATATCCTCAACATTGTGCGCAATTTTCTTAGTTGTGTGCTTTTGTTTGACTTGAGTAACACTAGTTGTGTAAATGAGTTACTTGAGGATTTGTGATTACGAGGAAAATGTGTGAGAGGAAACGTTGCAGCAGAGGGCGTGTGACAGCTCTCAGTCACACTGCTGCTCATTACTTCACAGCACTGACGATCACTGTTAGCATGACAACGCTTCACTGTTCTGCTGCAGGTTCAGACCGGTCACGGGAGGGGCTCAGATTAATGCCACAGCATGTTTGTTACCTTTTTTTAAAAAAAATTACTCATGCATTGCATTATCATTTAGTATGATTACCAATTCAAATCATCTTTGAAGCTCTAATGTAGTCTACTATACAAAATACCAACAATGTTGATAATAGATTTATCTGTTTACACTTTCTCTAAGGGTTAACATTCCTCCATTCCAGTTTCTCATTTGTTTGCTTTTACACCTTTTCTGTTTTACATTTTTGTCTGGTTGAAAATAAAGGATATCTGAGGGAGCTGTCTTCAGCTTTAGGAAATGCTTATCAAGTTTTTTTTCCCACTTTTTTGGATATTTTATAGAACAACAACTTATTGATTCATAAAACAAATATCACAGATTAAATAACAATGAAAATATGTGTAAGTAGCAGCCTTAAAGTACATCACGAAGTAGAGTTCCTATATTAGGAACTCTTAAAAATACTTTTTCTTACCAGGACTCCTGTTGGATCAAGGCTGATAATGTAACCCTTTTTGGGTTTCTCTCCCCCCCTTCTATCTCACTCTCAGTGGAAAGTGCGACGTACGCTGGCTTTCTCTATCCATGAGCTGGCAGTGATCCTGGGAGACCAGCTGACAGCAGCTGATCTGGTGCCCATCTTCAACGGTTTCCTTAAAGACCTGGATGAGGTCCGCATTGGGGTGCTCAAACACCTCTACGACTTCCTCAAGGTGAGATATGACAGTTTTTTTATTTAGTTTTAGTTCAAGATGTGTCACCAATACTGTAAAGGATGACGTAGCTGTTTTGGTTACTGTAAAAATTACAGTTTCAAACAGAGAGAAAACAGTAGGGTCGGTAGCTTTAGAGGTAAAAGATATCAGAACTTATTTGTGTGTTATTTCTTGTTTCAGCTGCTTCATGCAGATAAGAGGAGAGAGTATCTGTATCAGCTGCAGGAGTTCATGGTGACGGACAACAGTCGCAACTGGAGATTCAGATATGAGCTGGCAGAGTATGTCTCCTTTCCCTTTACTCATCAGAATATTATACAGGCTCTCTTATCTTATCTTATTGACACGAGTGAGAGTGCCTTTTAAGTATTGTAAATAGTTGATTTCCTAAATTGATAATATTAATCCCGTTTGACAAAAGTGTTCTCTCACTTCCTCTCTCTGCAGGCAGTTGATCTTGATCATAGAGTTGTACAGCCACTACGACGTGTATGACTACCTCAGACAGATAGCACTCACACTATGCTCCGACAAAGTGTCAGAGGTCAGGTGGATCTCCTACAAACTGGTGAGTGAACACTTGTTGTCTTGTTTTTTTGGAGGGAAAGAGCTGGCAAATTGTGACAGATGTTTAGGACACACTGACGGATGATGTGTCTGAGTGATACAGTAATGCCCTGACTGATTTAATCATCTTATTGTATGTTACAAGAAAAAGTAATCACCAGAGGGTGCAGAGTAATTTGTTTTAGGAAGAGTTTTACTTTTTTTTTAATACCTCCCCTTTATGTTCTACTGCAAGACCACAAGAAGTTGCACCCCTTAACTTTGATATTGTGGTAAACAAAAGGGAAATAACGTTGTATTAGATTCTCTTACCTTAAAACAGAGTCAGATTGGTTGTTTCTTTTCTTAATGATAATCATGTTTGTAGCTTCCTATGACATAGACTGCTAATGGACAGATGTTTTGACATAATTCTTTTGCTGCGTAATTTAGAGGATGACTGTTTCTTTAAATGCAAATGACAGCTAACAACTTTTTATCTAAATAGCTTTATATATGTAGCAATCTTTAAAGGGGCTGTTGAAAATACCTCACCATCAATCCGACAATCTGCTCATATTCTGCAAGTTAGAACAGTTTGTGCTTGAAATTCTGCATTTAATACTTGTTAAATAAATGAAGCTTACAATTACGTAATACATCACCTCTTGTGTTCACAGGTTGTAGAGATCCTCCAGAAGCTGTATGCATGTGGGGCCGATGAGCTGGGCCTGAACTTTATCAATGAACTCACCGTCAGGTTCTGCCACTGTCCCAAGTGGGTGGGGCGGCAGGCCTTTGCCTTCATCTGTCAGGTCTGTAACGATTCTCTCCCATCACTCGTCTCTTTACCTGCAGTTCAGCTCCATAGAAAGCTCTGTATCTGTTTGATCTCCTGTCTGATGTGTCCAGTGATTTTGTGCAAACAGGATTGAAACATGTGTAAGAGGACAATGATTTTCAATCTATTCATGAGTCTTTGAACATTTGTGACGGTTTCCTTTGATGTTCTTACTAAAGACACTTTTATGTTTAAGATTCTACATTAAAATGGTCGTAAGCAAAGATTCTTTTTGTGAACAATAATTTATTCTAACATGCTATTATTTCTAATTGGAAACGCAACCCGGTTGTTTTGGTATGTAATTGTCATGTAACTCACATTTTTATCCTTCATTTGACTCCACTTATGTGGATATGGTAATACTACAGGAGTTCACTTTTTGTTCATGAGCCTGTTTGTCGTCCGTTCATTCTGTTTGGATGATTTTGATCAGATCTGTGGGCTGGCTCTTGTGACGGAGGTACATCCTCCCCTCTGTGTTAAACATGCCAGCTGTGTGACTCTGCGTTTTAATGTTTTCCTTGTATTGTCTGCAGGCCATAGTGGAGGAGGACTGTATGCCCATGGAGCAGTTCAGCCAGCACCTCTTGCCCAGTCTGCTCAGCCTTTCCTCAGACCCAGTAGCCAATGTCAGGGTACTGGTGGCCAAGGCTCTACGACAGAGTGTCATGGAGAAAGGTATTCGCACACAAGATTAAATGATTTATGTGATCGATTCTTTCAATTTACTATAGGCTATAGTCCTCATCAAAGCGGCCATGGGTTCGAATTGACCTCATAAAATAACTTGCACTAAGTGTGATCATTATAATTCTTTAAATAACAAAAATGTTTCAGAGTGCCTTAATAAGTTTTCTCTTCCCTTAGCCAGTGGATTCTTTGTCTGTAAAGCGATCATGTATATTCCATTTTTTTTTTAGTAGTTTTCTCAAACCTCAGAACATTGTTGATTCAAGCAAATGTTTCTCAAACAAAGGTAAACTGGGCATTTGTTAGAATATGTTTTGTCTTTGATGTTTTCGCAGTAGCAAGATATAGAAACAAACAACCCACAGTCTACCGCTTATGTTTATTTAATGATGGTGTTTATTTGGTGTTTTTGGTCTCGTCATGGGTTCAGTTTTCAATAAGCAAACTAATCCTGAATGCTTTACTGTTTTACGAGTGTTTCTTTCTAGCTAACCAAGTCTTTTGTTTGGTTAACAGCATACTTCAAAGAGCCGGGCTGTGCCTACTCAGACGAGCTGGAAGAGACTGTGATGGCTCTGCAGTCTGACAAAGATCGAGACGTCCGCTTCTTTGCCAGCCTGGACCCCAACAAAGGCCTGATGGACACAGCTCCCTTGATTTAGTCCCAGCTCCCTGAGTCCCGTTACAACCCACCTGCCTGTCTACCTGTCTGTCTGTCTCACTGACACAGTCAGCGAAAACCTGCAACACCAGCACCCGACCAGATCCCGCCCCCCCCCCCGACCACTCACCTGCTGGGCAGACCTGAACCAATCACCTCTCAAGAATAATGTCAGATGTTCAGACTCCAATTTTAAAGGATGAGCATGCTCAGAACAACACAACCCAGTCTCTGGTTGGGCACTACAAAGCGCACATTCACAACAGAAAATGCAGAACTTGTCAGTTTTCAGAAATGAGCAGGACTCAGAAGTTATCGGCAGTATTTACGCCTGAACTGTTTCCCCATCTTCCTCCTTCACACTAACATCAGCTCTGCCCTTCCCTAATCACAGACTTGTAAAAACTACGACGGGCTCTTTTTCTCTCTTTCTCCAAAGCTAATTGTAAGCTTGATTATAAAATTGATTTTTTTTCTTAATACTTCTTTTTGTGGATTTCTTAACGAACAACTGGGCTCCGCCTGCCTGACTCTGACGTGTGCACTAACTCAGGGGGACTCATCTGAACCTAGACAGCATTATTAGCTCACATGATAAGCAGCAGCAGCTCCTGTTTCCCTGGTGACAAAAAACTCCAGCTGTCTGAGCGACGCACCAGCCAAACCAAGTAGCTCTGCTGGTGTCTGTCGCCTCATTCTCCTCCTTAAATGCCTCTTGTTGTCTTCTGAGATGTCCTCCGGTTTATCGTCTGTTTCCCCTCTCACTCTTAATCTCTGCGTTTCTCCACCCGGTCTTCATGGGCCAATAAAACCACTACTACTGCACAGAAGAAACCGTGATTCTGCCACTCAGCGTAACTCTTAATTCAAACCATATCATGGACATTTTTAAAAGAACACCATAATAAACTGTTAATCCCCCTCCCCTCCTGGGTCTGTTTACCAAAAATGTGACAACACGTCTCCCAAGCAGCAGGAGACTAATGAAATACCTCTGTGCGGACGTGACTGGCCAGTGTGTCGTACGTGTGGAGGGACATTCGCGGTCCAAACTGGCTCTGACTGTCCTCGATGGGTGATTCCTTTTTGATTCTGTGGCGTCAAGTAAAACACCTTAACAAGGGCTCATGATGAAGTGACAGGGTGAATCTGAGAAAGAAGAGGAAGAAAGCAAGCACACTGATGGATTATGCATGCCCCCCCCCCCCCCCCTCTTGTGTATAGTCTCTTCTAATTCCTTAAGGATTGACCTCCTGATGTTGAATTATGTGACCATGGTAGCTTTCAGTGGATCTGACTGACCAGTTGTACAGTAGGATATAGGAATGGCTGTGTAACGACACTGAAAGACGGCTGATCGTTGTTTCCCTGTCTTGGTGGAATGATTTTTAAGTATGAGGTTTCTCAAAACTCTTTGTACAGCTTAAACCTGTGGAAAAACAGTGTGTGTTTATGGAACCAAGGCCAGTTTAGTCGAGATGTGTGAATATTGGGAGCAGCATCCAAGTCACTGTTTGTAGTCTCTCGAGCTTGTTGGTTTTCCTCTGTTGTAAATGGTAACCCCTCAGACACCCCCCTCATCTTTTTTTTTTCTTCTTTTTTTAAAAACATAAACCGGACTTGAGAACTTAAGCTGGTTGTGGCGTGTGCTGTGCATCTCAAGTCTTTCTTCCTTCGAAAGGAGAGCTCACTGCGGTAATGGCGGTGTCCACTCATCTCGTCTGTCTGCGATTTGTGTCCATCTCATTTTTTATGTAGTAGAACAGTTAATATATACATTTTATGAAAATTATTTTTCTTTTCAATTATGCACCACTGTTCAAAGATTTTATATCCTAACTTTACAAAATTTACAACCTTTGTAATATTCAATGGTTTCTTTTAAAAAGACATTTTATGTAATGTTATTTTTAGTATTCTGTAATTAAAATGATGAAAATTAATGTTTGTTGTGCTCAAGTTTTGTGTAGTTTGTTATTACTGAAGCCTGAGGCTCAGCCAGCTTTGATATCAATCCAGACATTTTTAAAACATCTAGAGTTGAGGCAGAACGTGTGACATATATATATTTTTTTAACGATTGGGGAAAGTAAATGGCATTAAAAAATATATTTCATGGTTTTAGCCCTTAAGATTTTTGTTCAAATTTGCTGTAGCCAAATGTTTCTATTTTCATTTTAGAGCTGCAACAATGAGTTAAGCACATTACTGCTCATGAATACATTTTGATGTCTTTATTATTTTAAGATTGGGACTGTTGGTAAGATAAAAAACAAGACATGTGAAGATAACTCATGCTCTGGACATTCTTCTCTTTTTGTACTGACATTTAATAGATTCAATGATCAATCATGAAAGAAATGAGAGAATAACTTTGATTGTAATGACAATAGTTATATATTGCAGCCCTTCATGTATAGTAGATGTATCTGTCCATTTATGATACATTCATTGATCACTACTTGCATCTATTCAATGTCAGAAAATAAATGAATGTTCTTTGAGCAGGTGCTGGAGCCAAATTTAACATCTTCAGGTTACAGTAAACAAAACAAAGTGTTTACTATCTTTTTAGTCAAAGATGAACACCTGTCTGTACACAAAAGCATTCATATTTTACACAATATGCAGGTGAGCTTAAAAATTGTTAAACTGCAGCACAATGCAGCTTTGACGCTCAGTCTCGTCTTCTTTTAAAAAGCATCAGCTTCCGGGACCACGTGGTGCAGCCAAAGATCTGTAAGAGCTCCATGCTGCAGTGTTTCTCCAGATGCTCCCTGACATGTTCTGCTATGTCCCCTTGGATCTTGAGGGTCTTAAAGTGTTCAAAGTCTGAGCGGCCCAGCTTCCTCAGACGCCGGGCTGCACTGCGGTAACACTTCCAGGGCTGCACCTCGAGCAGGAGATGCTGGCTGATGGAGGCGAGGTGAGAGAGCATCTGCAGCAGGCTGGAGTCTCCGTGGTTCAGGTGGATCCACATGGTGACAGCCAGGCACGCACAAAGGTGGAAGTGGGAGCTGCCATGCTGGTTGAGGTAGTCCTGCAGCTGGTGTGTGTCTTGAGTGATGTCCAGAGGGATGAAGGAGATGTAGTCGGGCAGAGGGTTGGTCTGCTGAGCCCGCTGGATGAGCTTCTCGTCCAGGTCGAAGCCCAGGAGGTGAACTTTCCTGTTTTCTGACTCCTCTGCACATGCCGGCTCCTGAACCAGGTGCTTGTATAAGGCCACACTCAGATCCTGACACAGGTAAACAATAAAAGGACAGATTTGGAGGTATTGTGTATTTTAATTTGCTTAAATCTTAAGATGAATCCGAAAGGTGCCATGTTTCATCATAATGTAAAGCTATTAGTTATGCATCACAGGTAAATGTTTATATGCAGATAATTCGATTTGGATGATGACAGCTTATAGATTTGAAATGATGCATACTTTGAGAGGTAAAGGTAAATATTAGTGTCCGAATAATTTAAGTTTGCTTTTCAAAATCTTTGTTAATAGAGGGTGTAGATCTCTACTTACTCCTGAGTTACATCCCACGTCCAGGACCAGCGTGTCTTCATGAGCCTCGCTGCGTCTTAGTTCCTGAAGGAGTGTAGCTGGTATCAGTCTCAAACGCTCTTCAGGAGGATTGAAGGTGTAATAGTTTATGAAGTTGCCATGAGGTGCAGCTCCTGGATCTGTGATATCTTTATCCTCGGTACTTGTCGTGCATGTTGCCATTGTAGTGCGTCCGCCTCCAAAATATGTCCGGGTGAAACGTGTCCCATAGTGAAAAGAAGCACCGGTCTGGTCTGTGTCTAGACAGTGTTAGACTGTAGGTTGTGTCATTTACAGTCATTGGTCTGTGTGCCTGGTTTATTACTGTATTTGGTCGGTTTGATAAAAAAAATAAAAATATAAAAAAGGACACTTCAGACCCAAATTCAAGTTTTTTGCCTTATTTATTCATTTATTTATTTATTTACGAGTGGTTTATTAATACTGCTTCATCCTTATGTAGAAATCATGCTGTAGTAGATCACAATGTAACTACTGTTAAGGATTTTTTACTTCTACCTGCTTCTTGCTTTTAAGGATGTTAGTAGAATAAAAAACTGACAACCCTGTTTTCCTACTGTGACGTTGTCGCAGTAGATATAGTATTATGAATATAACTATTTAATATGTGTTCATACTTTAAGACTTGTCATTTAATACCCTGTTCTTCAGGAATTCACAACATTAAATCTCGAACCAGGTCAGGCGGTAAAGCTGCTTGTGTCTCTGGTAAGTCGTGGGGCTGTAAAGCATTGACTACGTGTTACATTTTCAGCATTTGTATTATTAAAATATAAATACATACATCATTGTTATGATACAAACTTAATTATAAATATGAGATCTAGGCATGTTTTTTTAATTTTTTTAATTTTATAAATGTGGGCTGAGTTTGAGTCTTAGAATGTTACAATATAATGTACATTGATTTCTGTTGGGGCTGTTGAATGTTTTATTATCATAATAAGTATTATTATTACTAGTAGTAGTAGTTTTTTTAGCTTTGGTTTTTTTTGTTGTTTCCTGTCAAAGCGTGTGTTTGAGTATTTAGAAAAGCGCTCTATAAATCTAATTTATTATTATTATTATTAATTTATTATTATTATTATAGTAGTATTAGTTGTACATTACAATTTCTTATAGGAAATGGCATTTCTCAGTAGATTTCATATAATCAAAAAAGAAGAGAAAGGCATTCATAAGAAAAACATTAATAAATATGTAAAAAAAATGTTATACAAAATAGTAACAAAATATATAATATTGACTGTATGATAGTTTGGATATAAACGGGACTATATGTACTGTATTACTCCGCGTCAGTAGGTGGCGCTGTGTAACACTGCGCGCAGTTTTTACAGCTGAAGACAGAAGTCCCCTCTGGCTTGCCGTATCTTACGAAAGCAAAGGTTAGTTAGCGTGCGTGCTAACTTTGCATGTTGCCGAGCTGACATTGAGGATAACTCACCTACAACCTGTGTTTGATATCGTTCTTCTCCTTCACAGTAAAAGGTAAGAGAGCTAACGTGAGGATGCAGCTGTCAAACTGTGAGCAGCACAGACTGTAAGGAGTGATACAGCAAATACATGAACATTGATTCATATTTACATCACATACTGTTGAAAAGAGATTCAATGCGCTTTACAGAGTCAGCATCTCTTTATCAGATCCTCTTCAGTATGGTTTTAATCACAGACTTTACATTTTTAATGTGGAACCATTTACATCTGAAAACACACAAATTGTCGCAACTTGATGCAACTGTGCAGAACCTAAACGGTAGGTGTTTCATAAGTGCACATTTACTTTGTGAAAAGATCCACTTTCTGTATCATTGTGCTACCACAACACAGTATTTCTAAGGTTATTATCAGTATTATAAAACCTACTTGTAGTCATACAACTTGTCCAACTACAAGTAGTTAACTACACTGTAAGCAACATTTTGGTATTGAAGTGTCGCTTACATTTATTTTTTTGTTTGTTAATCTATCCAAAAAAATGTTTTTCCAGTTAGGTCTGCATGTAAAAATATTTATCGGTAAATAATATCTCACTTGAAATCAAATATAAATACTCAAGAATATAAGAGGGGGCGCTGTAGGTTTGGTATGTTGGTATGAGACATTTAAATTTAATTAAACAAAGAGTACGGCCCTGTGAGAACTTTTGTTGGGATCTGGTGCAACATATAAAAGGTGTATTGATTGGGTAATGTTAAAAGTGGAGTATTGATGTAGTGTGATATTGAGAAAAGCTTTATTTAAAACGATCCATGAAGACAAAATACCAATTTCTATTTTTAAAAACTGTAGATCAAAGAACTTCAATCATTGCAAAAACGAAATAAAAACCTAATACGGCTGTAAAACTATCCTGACCTGCAGATTTCTAATGTTATTTAACACATATACTTTGTATTATGTTAAATCTCAAAGGATATCATTTCATGTCTGAATTTGTTCTCGTCATCATACCCATACTTGTAAAGAAGTTAACCTAACCAGTTCTATTCTGCTGCTGATCCTGCTCTGACTTTGGCTTTCTGGTTCCTTCAGGATCGTCATCATGGTTTCTGGAAAGCGCCTGGCTGACATCGGCTATCGGACCTTTTCCGCCTCCATGATGCTGCTGACGGTTTATGGAGGATACTTGTGCGCGATGCGAGGATACCGCTACATGCAGAAACAAAACCAGCTGAAACTGGCAGCTGAAAACCAAGATCCTGAAATCATCAAAGACTGACATTGGATCGACTGCTCTTCTGTATATTGCACAAATGTGGACATTGCCCATTCCTCTTCTGTTTTCTCGTCTATCACAAAATCATGGAGATTCAAAATCTTCTCAGGATATTAATGTGTGCCAACATGTCCTCCACACTAGGAAGACTTGTTGTTAGAAGAGCTGCACCAAGCAAATTTACAAATATCATCTTTGCATCAACGACCTGTTTAGGATCCATGTTGTAGCGGCCTCTGTTGTGAGAGTGATGATGGCTGTAACTGTTTGTATTATATTAAATTAAATGCCTTTAAACACACAGTATATTTTAGTGTTTATAAACACAACCACAACAAGACAGACATGTTTTTACAACAGAATATATTTGGAAATATATTTTTTAAGGCACTCAAGTGAGAGCACGATACCAGACATGTGGTAAAGTTCTTATACCTGGATTCCTCTATAGGCAGTGACGTCAAACAATTTCATAAACATTTGGTCTCAAAAGTCGTCGTAAAAAACATTAAAACAGAAATAAACAAATCACAAACGATGCATTTCAAAGGGTAACTCCACGATAAATCTCACAGGGCAGAAAACTGCTGTTTCGAGAGAACTGCACTTTACACACAGTAGGTGCCCTTCTTTAAAGAGCTGATAAAAACCACAACTATAGCAACATCATACCTGCTGTGAAATGCAACACACTTCAAAGTTTTGACTTTAAAAGAAGCAGTTTTCTGCCCACTCACGGTCCAGTGTGATCAACCCTTAACACAGAAATAACCAAGTTCATCTGACCAATAAAACTGGGACAGAACATTGACACCAACAAACATCTGGCAGCAAATAAATCCCATAACTTGAAAAATAAGGCAATGCAAATCACTCACTTCAACTGATTTCCATATGTGTTCAGCTTTACATGTTACCTTGAAATCTCTGTCTTCCACGTCGTTACAGGGCTCCTTAAAGCAGATATCTCTGTGTGTGTGTGTGTGTGTGTGTGTGTGTGTGTGTGTGTGTGTGTGTGTGTGTGTGTGTGTGTGTGTGTGTGTGTGTGTGTGTGTGTGTGTGTGTGTGTGTGTGTGTGTGTGTGTGTGTGTGTGTGTGTGTGTGTGTGTGTGTGTGTGTGTGTGTGTCTGTCTGTGTGTGTGTGTGTGTGTGTGTGTGTGTGTGTGTGTGTGTGTGTGTGTGTCTTGCATATCAAGGGAACGTCATAAGATATCAACACACGAGGGACGGACTGCAGGGAGCTCCCAGCGTCAGGCTTTGTGTCACCAGCTGTTGTGGTTCTGCACCCAGGCTTTGGAAGCAGCACAGTGGCCGTTAGTGCCGTTCTCTCCTTTGTTAGGGTGAGGAGAAGCTTTCAGGCTGTCTGAGGGCGTGTCGGCCTCTTCCTCTGAGCTGCTCTCGATGTCACTGCGGACATCGTTGCACACCTGGGTGGCAGATGGAAGCGTAAACATCAATAAGCACTTGCAGGAAATTATAAAAATACTGAAAGGCAGAGGTATGACACAAATAGAATACATTTTACAGAACCTTTACAGTGAACAAGCTACTTGAAGTTCAGTTCATCTTTTTGCTGCAGGATGTTGTGATGTCAGTTATTTCAGTGTTATTTTTTTAATGTAACTGTGAATGTGAATAATTATGAGATATCGTAACAATTCAAAAGTGTTTCATTTTTGTTTTGTTATTTAGACCATCAGTTTATATACTATCACTAATAGAGATCTGTTCATCATCAAGAGAAAAGGACTTTTAATAATAGACACCTTAAAAAAAAACTATACTATACATATGAAGACAGGAGTCATGGGGGAGGTAATAAAGCTTAAACTCATTTATGTAAAGCAAAGTAATCAAACCCTGAAGAAGCACATAGTTTGAATTTGTATCATTGAAGTGTAATGGACAACCAACACAGTGCATGATTCTCTATTTCAAAGTCAGATAGGAGACATGAAGCGTTCACAATCCATTCATACATTTTCACCTTTCTACAAAACTGTTTTATTTTTTATGGTATAACAGAGTTTGAATTTAAAGATAATTCCTTAAATCTGTTATTGCTGCAGAGATTCAATAATAACAAGAGTTGACTTGAGTCTTAGATACTAAGACGTTTTAAACATTACAGTTCACATAGAGCACATTCATTTTTAGAAACTCAGCTGGTCTGTGATCACTTTAATACCAAAGTGATGACAGAGAAAGATTTCATTAGTGTCCAGAGCTACATGCTCCCTTACTGCCCTTCAGGGAACAGAAAATGTTTCTACTAGAAATTTAAGTTATGTTGTTTAACCTTTGATTTTAATCGATTTGCCGCTCTGCAAATTGTTGAAGTGGGTGGTTTTTGTTGTGAAGTTGCACTCAGTGACGATTCTGGAGTATGTTGGGGCTTTAGGCATATATCAATTGGGGGCCCCTCCAACCAGCGCTCATCTCCTTTATGTCTGCCAATGTCCCGACACTTACCGTACTCCTCTTTCAGCAACAACTCATGCGACGCTTAGCCGGGCAATGAGACAGAGGTCTGTCAGATGGGGCCCCCTTAAGGAGGTTTACTGTCGTTGCCAAACTTGCACATTTTGAGCCACTGCTTTGGTTTAACTTTTTCAGCCGTCAGGGGCCCCCTACTGTTCTGGGGCCCCAAGCAGTTGCCTGCCTTGCTTGTTGACAAAAAGCGCCTCCAGCTGCACTGCATACAGGAGTTGCATCTGAAATTGCTTTGTAGATTATCCACATTTTGATTAACTCCAGGTTCCTGAAGCAAGACAATGTTGCCTAGATGCTCCGTCTAATTTGCCCTATTTTGATGTCCACGCCCACGGGTTGGACTTCATGTTGTGTTAATAACACCTGAACCTGTTTTTGAATGTTGTGTTCCTTAAATGCACATAACAAATAAATAATAATATATTTGGGAGCCATATTGTGGCGAGTCTTTGTTTGCATTATTACTATAACAAAACTACCCATCATTTACAACTCTGCCCTCACTGCTGTTTCTGTGAGTGAATCTGTGACTGTTTACATTCTGCAGCAGTCGCCCCAATTTAACCCACACTAACTCCACTGAAGCCTCAAGGGAAATTAAATGAAATTGATAGAACTGGTGGGAATAAGAAGAGTAACTACAACAGAAAACTTACAGCAACAAGAGAAAAGGTGAAAGGTCTCAGAAGGACAAAGTAAACGGAGGGAAGCAAAATAGCAGGAGGAGGAGGGGCTCCCTGGACAAAGACAGAGAGAAAGGCAGGATCTCCCTCTCTCATTCCAGAGGGAGAGGAAACAAACAGCCTCTGCAGAGAGAAAAGACAGATTCAGGGACGGCTGGGGGAAAAAAAAAGTGTAGAGGCAGCGAATTCATTCCCAAAACTAGCTATGATGTGATGTTCATTTCTATGAACATTTGGGGTATAGACAGATGCCTGACTGGAACTAAGATTTATTTGGTGCCCTTTATATCCTCTCCACTACTTACCTTAGTGTTGTTAAACCCACATTTAATCATAAAGAATTTGACAAGCCTTTGTTAGTCACCGCAAATGTTTGTAGTATGTTATTCAGATGAATTGTCTCAGGTCTATCAGGTTCATCTTTGCTTACACAGCAAAGGACGGTTTTGTGAAATAAAGCTTCAATCTAGGTCACTTCAAACTGATTTTAAGATTCTTCATTTCACGCGTGCAGATTTCTATCCTTTCGTACATTTCTTTCTTTAAATTTAAATACCAAAGATGCTTGTTAGACTTGTATAAAACTACATTTCTGTAGTGACCCACCTTGCCCCGCATAATGGCTTTAATAGCTATCCGGGCTATGAGGTAGGCCCAGATGATGTGCAACAATTGGAGCACGAGCAGTAAGACGTTGAAGACCCACCAGGAAGGGTACGGCCCCACTATGGCCCAGCTCTCAAACATAGTGGAGTTCAGGACCCTGAAAAACCAGGGACACAAAGAAGTGTGTGAAGGCACATCATTTACTTCATGGTCTCATTCACTCTGACTGACACACGAGAAATAACGTATCCCAGGGAGAGGAAACAGTAGTCAGGCTGCACTTTCATCATATTATTAATCCACACTCCTCTAATGAGACCTATTAAAGAAAGACAGGACTGTAATTCCCGTCTGGATGCCAATGGCAACAAAGCAGGGGAGTTACATGGCTGGACTGTACTGTCTGGTAAGTGTTGGTGAGGTCATGGCTTCCTTTAAATCCAGGTGAGTGACAGCAGGTAGTCAACAGACCCTCCTCCCCCAGCAGAGGTTTGGATTTCAGTCCAGATAGCTGCAAGGGCAACACTAGCTTTATCACTCATCCCCACCAAGACACTGAATATGGCTGCTCAGGTTACTTTCACCAATGATCAGGTTCCCTATTGTCTGCTTCTCTGGAGGTTGAGCTTCAACATACAGGTCTCTGTTGAGGATGAGTCACTTTCCAGACAGCTCCCTTAGCCCGAAACACTAAGCACAGATATCTGCTATATAAGAAGTGTCGGTCACTGTAGGATAGGGGTGCTGGAAATTGCCTCTTATGACTGTCAACTGGTGGTTGTTACATCTTACTTAAGATGTTTTTCTGTACTACGGAGTGCTTGTGTTTTACAGAGTCTAGTTTGTGTGCTGCTGACCAGAGTTACAAATTACAGCTACAGGGTATGGGCTGAAATTGTAGTAATTTGGGAGATAAAAGCTCAGCAGGAATCTAATGTTTTTTTGTGTGCAAAAAAGCCTAAAACAACAGCTTACAAAGTGTTGTGCTCACAACTTCTTACCACACCTCCGCATTAGATGTTAACGCTAGCATAAACATGTCCAAAAATATGTTACATATTGCCAGCTTAAAAATGTGTAAAATCATAAATACATTTGCAATGGAATCCAGCACATTAATAAACAATGAACTATTATTGCTGAATCGCTTTAATATTCACTCTGAGGTCTATTAGAACTCACCATATTGGATATATAACAAGTCGTGTGATGAAGAATATCACACTAAACAAAATGAACAGGGAGTCACACAAACGCTGGTACTTGGCATAGTTGGCCAGCTTGGCTGCCTGTAGGACAAAAAAACCCAAAACAAAACAGGTGTAAGAGGTCATTATAACCTTTGTGTGTACAGCATGTTTCTTCCCCCCAAGCAACCAGTGAGTCTAACCGTGGAGCTGATTATGTATTTTTTCTGCCAAGAGGAAGGAGCTGATAACACTAAACAACAATCACAGTGTATCTTTATTGTCCGGGCTAATGATGAATAACCGCAGTATAAAGGTTAAGGTTTAAGTCACATGACCATTGTATCAACAGCAGTAGTAGGATCCTATATCTTCTATAGGCTTCTTCTTTTGTTTAGTATCAGTAGCAAAAAAAGGTAATTAAATAAACATTCCCTTTTTATGAAAAAAGCTGTAAATAGAGTATGAAGTACAAGAAGCAGGTGGAGATAAATGAGTGTATGTCAAAACAGCAAAAATGCTAACATCAATCAAAAGTAGATTTTTAGGTTTGAAATGTGATTATAAATTATAAATAGTGCAGTTCAGTTTGTGTTACCTGGTTGCTAAAAAAAAAAGGAAAAGATTAATTTAGATAATCAAAGAGCATGTGAGCACAGTCACCACTGGCCTCTAGCAGGAAGTCAGAGGCATCGTGGACACACATCACCAGGCTTCCTACTCGCGCCATGTTGTTAACATAGGAAAAGCTGATGAGACAGACAGTAGCCAAGTGATGGATGAACATGATGAGGAAGTCCTGAAATCAAAAATAGAAAGAGGGTGAGTAAGATGACAAGGTCACATGTAGTAGTGTTATTACAGTGTCACACCTCTGTGTTTTGCAATCCAGGGCATTTGTGTAACACACATAATGCAACTGAGGATTAACAGCTGACACAGTTCATCCTAGTGAACTTGTGGTCTAGACGGATACATTTAACCGCCAACTTCCCCACAAGGCGTGACATAAGCCTCTTTCTTACCCAATGTTGCCATGCTTAAATTTCAAATGCCCCGAAAACAATAATGTAAAAAAACATAACAACATGGATAAAACATTCCATCTGTGTCAAAGGATATAATTTACAGTACACAGCCCACGGCAGATTATCAAAACAGGAAAATTGAGCTGTGTTCAAGAACTGAAATTGAATGGCTCTAACCACCATGATAAGTATAATAAAGTAAACATCAAAGACTATTAATAGATTTAGAATCAAATCAAAGATCATTTAAAAAAAGAGAAAAAGAAGAGTCCATACAACAGTTCTGACAGACAGACAGACAGACAGACAGACAGACAGACAGACAGAGACACACACACACACACACACACACACACACACACACACACACACACACACACACACACACACACACACACACACACACACACACACACACACACACACACACACACACACACACACACACACACAGTATATATACACACAGTAGATGTATATTTAAACATTGTAAGCCACTTCTGCAGACTTTTACACATTTGATAAATCATTTGTTCAGTTTTATGCTTGTAAATGTTATTTGGTGGAAATAAATGGCAGACTATAGATGAGGCCAGGAACCAGTTTTCAAAAGAAGCTTCGGCATATTCACAAATTAAAGGCAATACTTTTAGTTTAGTCATTTTTGTGTACAGGAATAACTTCTACAGCCCATATGATAGGTTTGTCTGTTCTTTTAAAAAGCTCTATTGAAGGCCTGATGTGCAGTCAGTGTGAGAGGGAAGGTCAAATGTTGCTTGAATGTTCAGAACTGACTTTTCCAGAAGAGGAAGCAGGTGAGGGAGATTACATCAAACTTTAATCCGACTCAGAGCTCACCACGATCTTAAATAGAGGGAGCAGATTTAGGTGAAATATTAACATGAGGAACATCAGAGGACAAAAACTTGGCCGGAGACTTCAGATGGAAGCTTAAGATAAGAGACATTTGTATCTGACAGATCAGTCATCTGGGCTGACAGCAGCATACTGCGGGGGTGGATAGATAGATATGTAGACTGAGGGAGGCATGAAACGAGAAAAAGGCAGAAATGGCGGTTTTATGAGCACATTGAATCTGACTACATCAACCTTTAGTATCTTACCACAAAGACTGAATTTATGAAACCAGCAACGTGCAACAAACATCTTTACAGATCTTCCCAAAAATGTTCTTATTTACTCCATACCTTTATGATGCACACATGAATGCACATGCATATAAAGGCCTTAGGGTGATGAACACACATGCAGTGCAACAATCCATTTCATATATATTATACAGGATGCCACTTAAAGGTAGCCTATAATGTAGAAGAGTAGTAAAAGCTCTGACCTACTTTCCCAGAGTCATTCCAATCATTTGCTGAATTAAACATTAAAAGCTAAGCGTCTGCGTCTGGAACTAACTCCAGCTCTAACAGGCGGGTCCTCTGGAATTTCTGTCATTGTAATTGAGTTAGGCCCACTCCATCTTGCATTCACATGACACCGTGTGCCCTCATGCTGAAAATCGAAAGCATTCAGACTGAGCAGCATCAGGCCCCGCTCCAGCCCTCCAAAAAGACATGAACATGTGACTTGAAATAAAAAACCCACATGGGCACACATTCCTACCAACATACTCTCTGCCAAAATGAGGAACAATAGGCGTATTTAAAAATGTTTCACAGGGAGTGGCAGCTCTTGAGTTTCCAATGGGGTTTGACCTAACAGAAACAGATCTACTGCAGTTCTGCTTACCTTCCTTTTAATGTCTATGAACTGGGAGAACATGAGTGACCAGTAGAAAGCCAGCTCTGTCACATAGTAGTGGTAAAGGCCTGGAGTCATGACCTGCAGAGACAGACAGGATCAGAACGTTTCAGGGAGGCAGTCAGAATAAGTGTCAAATTCATTTTTAAAAACACAATCTGCTGAATTTCATACAATACTAAGAGTGAGAGATTGACAAGTGACTACCAGTGTACAACTCATCCTCACATACATCCTTACCCAATGAGTTGCCCTGATGTCAAAGTTACTAAAGCAGCGAGGTTTAAGAACCCTCAACGTGAAACTGCAGCTTGAGTCAGTTAACAGCGATCCTGTCTTATACGGACACTAAAATGTAGATAGAAGATATTAAATGTTAATACTAATTAGGGCCTGAGCACCGACCTCGGAGTGAGGACCCTATTGTATCTCTAGGAGCTTTTAGTCATGGTTTTCCTTTGCACAAATGAATCATTTATTTGGGGGTCTTAACGTGCACAAAAACTCACAAATTTTTGCAACCGGATCGGGATTGCGTGAAATTTACGTATTTTAGTGTTTCTGTACAAGTGCAAGGCAAAATGGCTCAACGGCGCCCCCTTTTCGATTTTTACAAAATGTTTTTTTGACTACATACATGAACATTTCGCGACATGTTAAGCATCCCAATACCTACAAAAAGGTCATTGGAAGTCATCATGTAATGTCAACAGGAAGTCCGCTATGATTTTTTGAATGTCAAAAAAGCGGCATTTTCAGTGTTTACAGGGTACCTACTTGAATACACCTGCTCGAGACCGTTTATCTGATCAATTCAAATTTGGTATCAAATGAAAGTAGACAAGTTGAAGATTCATAGTTGTGCGAATCATAAGGTTTCACCATAGGGCATGGCCATGGCGTGATGTCAAAATTTGTCGTCTCGCCAAAAAAAGGAAATGTTTATAACTAATATTTAGTGAGCAATCATCACCAAAAAATTCATGCATTATACGGTACCCATCCTGAACACATCTATGATTGAATTTTTTTAATTAGTCACCTGTTGACATAGGAAGTCACTAATTCTGAGCACTATTTAATTTGCATTAGCCATTGCTACGCGGTTGCTCATATCTTCCTCAAAATCGCTTTTGGCAATCTCAAGACCTTGGCCATACTACCTTTCGAAGTGCAAACTCCTGTCAAAAGCTGTTGCCTTACGGCTACGTTGTTCGCCATCAAACAAAGAGTAGTTATTTGAGGGGCTTTAAATTGCTAAACATGGTCATATACACACAAAACTTCCTATACCTCATTCCAGTGGGAAAGTAAAACTTTTCATGTGAGTGTAATGAGTGGACGCTGCTAAATGGCTCAGTGGCGCCCCCCTAAAAACTTTCTAAAAGGCATCGGGAGGCCTTTTTCCTTCACTTACATTCACAGGGTTTTTCCTGCATAGACATTTGTTTGGCGCCTCCAAAGAGGTTTCACCCAGCGCCAAAGAAACTCACCATCACCAAAAGAAAAAAAAAAAAAGACCATTCAAATTGCCGTTCAAGTCCTCTCTGAATGTATGTTTGAAATATCAATATATCAAACAAATGTTGAACAAGCAGAACATAAACTACGCAACTCTGACTTACAGCATTTAATTCCCCTCTCATCTGCATTACGCATGCAGTTTACGCTGGATATCCAGTCCAGGCACTGTTTGTTTGTTTTGACTGGGTCAAATGCAGCTTAATTTACCGTTTTTGCATTGCAAATAGTTCTGAACTTGCAAATATTGTACTGGTATATCTTCCCATGTTAGATGGATTATCTCTTGTTTTAAAAGTTATTTACTTATTTTTAGTCTTTGCATTTATTGTATAATCTTTAATTAAATACTAACATGTCTTTTTTGTCTCAACAAGTTATTGAATAGAAACACATGTACAAACACATGTGGCTCGTTAGCTTAATGGGTGACTTAAAGGAGCACTATGTAAGTAGAGAAATTTTTAAGTTGGAGAAGTGAAACAATTCTATGCTATATTTTCTGAACTGAATACACAAACTTTACTCAAAGTAAAAAATGGATCCCTGGAACTCTGTTTGGAGCTAAAAAGCTACCAGGAGAGTTTCAGTTTCACTGTTGCGGACCCCCTCCATAACTTCTTGCTTAGCATTTTATCTTCAAGCAGTGTGCCAGGGACCAAATTTTCCTCTGAGGACAGTTTTAGTATAGAGTTATTAACATATACCACAGAATCAGTACACTTCTCCAACTTTCACATTTCTCTACCAAAACTACATAGTGCACCTTTAAATTACCCGTAGGAAAAGAAAATGGATGGATGGATTCAGGTTTATTTACAAGATCATCCAACTCATCCAACAGTTTAATCATACTAATACTGATTAATTTCCCACTTAAATTATGGCTTTTTCCCCTTAATTTGCTCAAACAAAAATACAATCTTCCTTAAAGGAAAATATGCGATTTTTCACACTGAAATGTAGCAGAAATCTAATATATCCTCTGAAAATAACTCTGTGAGTCGTGACTGCCTACAATGAGTGTGACACAGAGTCCCTCTATCTGTGATTCTTTCCGAGCCATAGCTACACTTTGTTTTAAGGGTGCACCGATCGATTGGCATGAGACCGGAACCGACCGATTTTCAGCCTGATCAGCCCTGATCAATGACAGGCCGGTCCTCACAAGTATAGACGATTTTAGGCCGGTCCCACAAAGAGAAAAATAATGTTACTGGCTGTTTGAATCTCCAGAATGTGAAAATTTAATGCAGAGAATTCAGTTAATGTGTTAATTGCTCGCCATCAAACAAGAAGTGGCTGTAACTCTTGTATACTTTGTCGGATCTGCTTCAAATTTCACAGGTGTGATCAGGGTTGGCAAGTAATTCATATTGTGATTACAGCCTGATCATTTCTGAGATGTTGAGCCTGATAAATGGATATCTAAAAAATGAAGAGCTGATACCGCTAGCAATAGGATTCTTTTATATATACATTTATAAAGTTAAAAATAAAGTTGATGCTCAGCCCCTAAATTCGTTGCTTTTTAAAATTGGTCCTGTGAGTTCATCCCTTAGCGGGACACTTAACAGATAAAAACAAATTCAGCACTCCCTAGCATACATGATAATGATGACAAATAAGACAGAACCTGGTTACACGTTTTTTTACTGCAATTTATAAAACTCATTAGTCATCATAAATGCTAGATCAATTACAAGCTCAATTTAGCTCATTTATCTATCTCATATTTTGTTACTTCAGTGCATGAAAACTGTGATGCATTTATACATTTTACCCAGAAGATAAAACTGAGAAACAAACTAAAAGTTAATGTTTGATAATCTCTTCAAGAAACACAAAAAATGAATAAAGTTTTATTTAATCCAATATTTGCATAGCTTAGTCCTGCTCTTCGATTTACAAAACAGCCCAACATCGAAGTAAACAAGAGACATCAAAAGGGACTGAGAACATGTTGGAAACCATCCCAACAAACTTCCGTCTTTTCACAGTTTATATCATCATTTAACCAACTCCAGCCATTGGTGCTGGATATAAGTGTTGACAATAAAACTACCAATCCATGTGGTTACTCGCCAACATGTTTGCAGAGCAGCACCTCAATAACTCAGAGTGTCATCTAAAGCTGCAACTTCCCGTAAAAAAAGGAAAATGCAGACTGCTTCGTATAGCTGCATAACAACGTGCTGAAAACAACATGAGTATGAGTACATCTTCATGATGTGAACACTTGTCTGACTGCTTTTTATGACACATTTGTATTCATATAAGAACAGTAAAAGGGCAGTGAAGTAAATAAATGCTAACAATGCTTAAGCTGTTTGCTCAAGTGTCAGGAAGGAGAGGAAAAAAGTCAACACAAGCTACTTTTCTGCTTTCCATGATTAACTGTGCACCAGTTTATTACGGGGCAAAGTCTTGTAATTCAATACAACAGCCCATGTTCATTTTCTGTTTGTTCAGCTAGCCATGTAATATATGAAGCTGTAGTTTGTATTGGAGTGTGCTACGGATTATATAGATAGAGATTTAAAACCGTCATACCTGATAGGGATAACCGTACCAGCAATGCCGTGTATCCCACATCCAGGGGCACTAAAAAAACAAGTAGCATTAGTTCACCAAGCTATTCATAATGTTTTCATTTGCAGAAATATTTCCAGCCAATCAAATAGTTGCATTGGTGGTTCTTTCATTGATAACAACAAATGTTTGCACACCTGCCAAAGAAAGTGGAGCCCATAGGTAAATACGCACAAATAAAACGTAAACCTCCACCTAGATAAAGAGAAGAAATGGGACTATGTGTTAAGACAAAAACACACACATAAGTCCAATATGCATATCTACTTGCACATACTCCAAAAACTAGCAGAGCCTCACCACAGAAACACACACACACACACACACACACACACACACACACACACACACACACACACACACACACACACACACACACACACACACACACACACACAATGTCACACCACACAATGTCACACCACACCTGCACAGACAAAAACCACCATTGAGTGCTCAGTGCTGAGGAGTAAAGATGAACACAATAGGCATTAACCTACATGCTTTCGCAGAACTTAGTGTGTGTGCTTGGTTTATCTTGGTTCCTGCGGTGTCTGAACCAACGCTGGACCTTTCGCACCTCCCAGTCCAGCTGTTTGGAGAGGCCACTGAGGTGGCGAGAGTCTGGATTCTGTGCACACAGAAAGAGAGAGAGGAAACAGGAAACAAGTCAGTTTGGATCAAAGAGCCAGACTAGGATGAAAGAAAAGCTACGCCACTACATCTACAGTATCAGTATAAGCATTAGCATTTTGCAGTTCTGCTGATGATCCCCTATTTTGGCTTTAATCTCAGAGAGAAGCAAAAGATCACAGACTCAACGAGAGCATGTGAAGTCAGCAAATCCTAAACTGGTCAGGGTGAAGGTTGCAATAAAAGTTTCAGTGAAAAGTGCAAGCTACCCTTACTGAAGTTAGATGTCTCTGCCAAAGTTACATTCAGGGCAGAAATGTTTCGTCACACTTTGGCTAGGCAAATCTCAGTTCTTTAATCCACCAAACAAATCAATGTAAGATTGTTCCTGTTCTTTGTGCCAGTAAAATGAAATGGATCTACTATGAATCTTTTGATTAATTAAGGGCTTTGTTTAATTGCCTTTCTCTGAAGATTTCAAGAAAATAAGGCATGAAATTGTGAATTCAGAATCTGGAAAAAGTTTTCACTGAACTCTTTTATTTACTGACACACACACACACACACACACACACACACACACACACACACACACACACACACACACACACACACACACACACACACACACACACACACACACACACACACACACACACACACACACACACACACACACACACACACACACACACACAAAACTCCCCCCTTCACATCAGCCTAACATCCTTCACTATTCATCTCTCACCAAATCCAAATTTAGTCAACATGGTGTTATAATCCAAAGGCAACTTTAACATAACCATTACAAGACTTCTGTACATCCTCCATTTATTATTTAGTTGACAGACAGAGTGAATAATGTGGCATATTATCATCCATTACTGATACAAATGCTTCTCTAATAGAAGCAGGAATATGTCAAGAATGACACCAAACCTGTGTGATGGATGTAAACACTTTCTCCAGCACTGCATTGGGCTGAGCTCTCCGTCCAACACCAGGATGGACATGTAGACTGCGGGCACAGCTACTTGCAATAAATCTGTATCAGAGGTAAAGTACAGAAACAAAGGAGACATGAAGGGTCACAAAACATTTTTAAAACTTACATAACAGTTTTGAAAGGAACAAAAATGACAGGACTGGTTTGGCCGAGATTTTACATACCATTCAATCAATGATCAGATAAAGAAGGTTTCTTCTTACATGCAGAACCGTCAAACTGTCAAATACCTGATACTTGAACATCATTTAAAGTCAAGGCTCTTTTTTATATCAAGTGGAATGCAATTCTCAGCGGCAGTAATATAAAATGAGTTGCATGAATATGATTTCCAGATGGGAGCCCAGAGACACGGGTAAACAAATCAGGAATGAGCTACAGCATGAAGAAGGTCTGCTGAAGGTTTAAAGATAAACTGTGCAGTTTAAGACTGCTGGTAGAACTAACAAGCTGATATTCTGTAGGAAGGTCTTTTTTATGTGTATGTAGGCTTTTGCTTAAGTACGTATATCTTATACACATGCATGCAGAATACACAATATACCATTCTGCTAATTGTGCCAAGTTATTGCAATGAATTACAAATGCATTGAATTTACCAAAATATGCAGAGATGTACCAGGAATGGCAGACCTGAAAAAACCTGCTTGCTAGTTAAAAGTAATCAATAACATTGCAGGTTTGAACAAGTGTTAGATGAGGAAGGAAATGCATTCATGATTTTCCATAAACCGTTTTAACACATGCAAAAATCTCCTGGTAACTTCCCCAGGGTGAGCTGCATGTGTGAAAACAATATCTGAGAAGATATGTGAACACTGCAGTGATGACATGTATATAAAGCCAAAGGTGCTATGTTCATGCATGTAATGAATCTGCTTAATTATGTTGGCTGCCAGCCAGTGTGTTATTGAATAAGTGTTAGTTGATACTGTGAATAGGTCCAATTACATGTAGCGTTGATATAAAGACAAAACAGTGTAATTTTAGAGTTGGACTTTGTCACTTTGTCCGCACTCTTAGATTTTCACAACATCAGGAGTCTTGCCTCTTCCTCCACTTCACACCTTGAGAGACATTTTTGAAAAAGCAACTCATGAAGATTTCAGGGGCAGTCTGTTCTGAAATTTTCTAATAATTTTCAGGAGTGTATGTGTGAAAACAGATAGGACTTCAAAGATAAAAACACTGTATTTTCTGAAGGGCCCCTTTAAAATCTCTTTAAGAATGTCTGGCCAAAGAGAACCAAATTAGTATTTTTGTAGATATTCCTAATGATAATTCAAGTGTTTGTCTTATCTTGAAATTATCTTAAAATGGTTAATGACTCATCCTGCACTCAGAGATTATAATGATTTTGCATCTTATGAAAGACGTTCTTAAGTTTTTATGTCCCATCCCATGACGCACAGGACAAATCTCTTTCAAGACACAAAGATATGCAAAATCTAAGTGTTTTCTAAACTGTTAAAAGTATACTATGCACAACATTAGCCACTATGATGCTAGTACCAACACAACCACTACAACTACCACAGACCAGTTCTCTACTGTAGTATCCTCCCACCTATCAGCTGTTTGGAGAGAGAATAATACTGTTTGTCCCTCTCCTATCTCTGTCCCTTTCCTGCTGTGGCTGAGTTAGGGGTTATACTTAGGGGTTAAAGTAGACTGGTACTTTCTGGTTCTGTGTCTAAATAAAAGATTCAGTGGCAGTCACGCTCACACTTTCAGCCAGAAAACACATCGGCTACCGTTTTGTCATCTTAAACAACAATTTTTCTCATTGCTTCTAAGTCGTTTCGAATTGCTTCTGAACTGTGTGTGCTGTTGTTTTGATCTGTGTTGTTTGATGGAGTCCAGCTGCCTTTCATTACTTGAGCAAACTGTAGCCTGTCAAATTTGCCTAACATGCCGATCCAGATAAACCCGATGAAATTAAATGCTGTAGTTTCAGAATATATTGAAATTCCTCAAAAAGACCACCATTAGAAACGCTATCGCTGATTTCAGGATGCGAGTTATTAATTAAAGCAGCATCTTCCGTGCAATTGTAAATGACAATAATTGCTTCATAAAATTGTATTATTACAGAAAATGCAGTGTGAAATTGGGAAAAGCGGTGGAAAATTTGAAGCAATCATTAGATCTTTATGGCTGTAATGTGTTTGGATTAAGTCTTTCCCTGGATTTGGATTGTGGGGAGCCTTGCTGATGCAGCAGGACTGTTTTTAGCAGAAAAGTTTTGGTGTTTCATGATATTCTGTTTTATTCCAACAAGACAGACGGCAGCTCAGACAAGCTGTTTGTGAGGTGACAAAGAGGGATTGCACTGTAATACATTTCCAAGATATGCTACTGTGCATGGGTATTTCTTTACTTCATAAACACAGCGCATGCCAAAGGGCATGTTTGATTTATTGGTCCGGGACATTTGATGTCAGGTGTTCCTAATTTATTTCTACTCAATACAGGAATATTGAAACATTTCTTCTTTAGTATGTGACTGTGTGTAGCCGAGTAGAGGGGATCAATATGAAGAAAGGAAGGTTGTGGTAGTAGTATCAGCAAGCATTTAAAACTACTCTCACCCCTGGTTATACTCCAGGGGAGAAAATATAAACAAGGAGTGCAGTTAATGTGTCCTCAGCTAATGATGAAATGAATGAACGAATGAAATAAAGCAAAGATTTGCTGAAGGGGAGCTTCCCAAATCCCCAGTGATTCTGGGATATCTGCTTTACTATGGGAACACTATGACCTTGAACGCACCCTGCCTGTAGGTCTGTTCTACATTATGAAAACACTGTCACGTTCAGCTGGAAAAGAAACTCTTAGCTTAACATAAATGTTTATCTGAAAAAGGTGGAGAGAGCTGTGTCACAGGTAAGACAAATGGTTTATTATGTCAAACATGACTTCTGCCTTAAATTCACTACTGTAAATAACTATCACAAAAATCTCTTCTTGGCTACTATGTGTGCTTTAAAAAAAAACACTTTTCATGTCCAAACATCAAGAAATCCTTTTTTGTGAGGAAGGCATTGCTCCAACATATCAAGTTGAATTTCAGATGGAACCTGTGAGTCAGGTTCAGTCAGGTTGAGGTTCACACACTTTGAGTTTGGGCCAGATTTTGTGTCTGTCGTTTGTCTGCAAGAATGGGTCTTTGTGTGTGGTAATACACTGAAAACCATTTCGTCCAAATATTGGGTTAGGGTTAGTTAAAAAGCCTGACAGGACAATTAAAAATGAATCAGAAAAAATTACATTTTACTTATATTTTGTTTTGTGTTATTAAGAATATGCATGTTGTGTTAAGGCTTAAAATCTCTTAGCTAAAGTGCTACCAAAATACATAAATGTAACCCATACCATCTATTTTAAAATAAGGAAATGAGAACTTTCCCTTCACACTGTTTTGTTGAGCAGGATAGTAAGAGGCTACATCAATCACTGACAGTTTTGTTGTTACAAAAATGTAAACAGAAACTGTTGGAGAAAAACATTCCTGTAGTTGCAATCTGTGAGATCTATAAATGTGAACGTGTCCCTCTAAAATAAAGAATAAAGACAAATACTTCCTTTTGTCAGGGGAAATGTGGAGCTACTGCACTGAAACTGACTTCACAGCTCAGACACGGTGGTATACCACAGTGGCTTTGTAAACAGCTCCCTCTTTCAAGTCCTCAAGGTCAACCCAAGGTATTTTAAGTCAAGTACATTTAAAACAACCAAAGTTGACCATGGTGCTGTACAAGTTAAAACACAATATCGAAAGACCAATATGTATAAAAAGAGCAATAAATAACACAATAAAAAAAAAATCCCATAAATAGGAGACTAATAAAAAATGTCAAAATGTCAAGCTCAACTCGTATTAAAAGCCAAATTGTCCAACAGAAAAAGCAAGTTACTTGATTGAGCGGTTCTGATATTAACAGGAAGACGGCCTGCTTGTAGAAAAAATACTCGCAAATGCATAGTAAAGGAAGACTAACATCACAAACTGGAAACTAAATATCAATGTTATTCTGTAAATCTACAAAACTCCAACAAACTTCTCACTGACACACAAATTGACCCTAAAGATTACACGTGAATAGTAGTTTGTGACTCTTGACCGTTCAGCTTGGAAATTCCTTACAGTGTTAACGCAGACTCCAAACTATTTTCATGTCTCTGAGGAAAGTGTAGACAAATGAGTCAGTAAGTGGTGCAGAAAACCGCCCACCCACAGTCTGAAATGTCACAGTGTTACAAGATCATGTGACCTGATAATGCAGCTCTCAGAATGTCAGCTGTCTGGGTTACAACTGCCAGATGAACGCTGATGATACTGTCATCCATGTGTCCACTAAAACATCCCTTTCCAACAAAGAAATATAAAAACAGCAGAGCTCCAGCTGACAGCTTAAATAGAATAACATACAAATATAAAGTCTATTACAAAATATAGAATATATAATAGAATATAAAAAAAGTTAAACACATTATCTTAATATACAAGCAGGCAATAAAGGTCATGGACCAGAAACCCATGAGAAAGCATCACTGTGACATTTTAAGAAAACAATTTTATACATTGTTGTAACCTGAAACTAGTTTTTAAATGTCTAAATAATCATTGTTTTCACATTGTTTTCATCACTGTTTTCTGAATAAGCCATTAGGCATCAGAGCTCTCATAGTGCGATCAAAAGCCACCATCAGTGGTGATTTTTCTGTCACACTATAACAAAGACTACGACTGTACTAAGACCTTATTTTGTCTGATTTATCTGCAGAGGGGGCAAAACTTTGGAATTCTTCATCTACCATCTTAAAATTAGAGACCTTTAGTAAAACTTTTGACAGAGGACTAGCTGAAATAAAAACCCCTCCACGCCCTTGCCCCTCTCCAACTGCCTTCACCTGTACACCCCATCCCGGTACCTCCGCTCTTCATATATTGGTCTGCTTTCCATCCCCCACACCAGACTCTGTTCCTATAGAGACCTTCAGCGTCACAGCAGACACCCTCTGGAGCACCCGCCCTT